TATAAACAAACAAATAACTAGAAATAAGATTTAGATTATTTAAAAAATATTAAATAAAACACATATGATTAAATTAAATTTAAACAAATACTAAATAACAAATAAATAAATAATTGAAGTAAATCTAACAAAAATTACTTATTAGACTGAAAATAATAATGCAGTTAGGTTAAAATAAATGATAAAACTGAAAAAAAGGCTGAATATGAAGTTTAAACCCATTTATAACACTTATTTTACACAGTATAAATTGGGTCTTTGGATAAAAAGCTATATACTGTGATTTCTAGATTGGGCCTTGAACAATATTTGATTTAAAAAATCCTACAAGTTAAATTAAATCCTGCAGGATGTCAATTAAACCCTCCACACACAGGTTGTCAATATGATGTCATATTGACGTTGTACCCCAACGTCGTGGTGATGTTGGAAATGAAATTCAGGTTGACGTTAGAACCCAACATCGGGCCAATGTCCAACCTAAAATCAACCTAAAATTAACCTAAAATTAACCAAATGTCAGCGTTGAATCATTTTACACCTTGATGTTGTGTGGACATTACCACTATGACATCTATCAGATTTTGGTCACTTTCCAACACAAAATCAAATAAATATCAACATCATTTGACGTCGCTATTTGGATGTCAAAATAATGTTGTCCTTAGACACAGGCTAGACATTGAATTTTGGTCACCTGACGTCATGACCTAAATCTAACCTAATATTAACATCGTATGATGTTGTATGATGATGTGTGTTGGGAAAATAAAACTCTGGAAAGAAAAGAAATACTTATTACAAATATTTATTTATTCACTCACAAGAAATAAAATATACAGTGTCTTCAGATAAGTTATCACTATTTCATTCTCCCTTGTATTTGTTTAGCAGCTTTTATTCTGCACATATCTTACGAAGGAAACAATTAAACTGCAGAGACCAGAGGTTTTACACTCTTAAGCACAACTCCAGAATATTCTTAGAAAATCTACATCAACAAAACATCAATATGTTTTTAAAAAGGCAGGGTAGAATATGAAACCCAACCGTCATTCTGGGATAAGCAAATTCAAACTAAATTCATACGAATTACCCACTAAATCAAAAAGTTACGAATTGCCGTGAGATTGTGTTGGACTTTCCTCCAAATGTAATCATTGTCGTGACTCGTGAGAGAGACCCTCATCCTAAAAATGTAAAACAGATCTACTGAAGTGGCCAAAAGTGATTCTGGGCACTTCAGTAGATTCCTTTTACATTTTTTAGGATGAGGGTCTCTCTCACGTTTCATGGCATGTTAAAGATTGTATCAAGAAAGACAATTTACTCTCATTCTCTCTGCAAAATAACACATTCTCAGTATATCAGTACTGCAGATGACGGTCGATGCTTTCGCACTTTCCCTCCAGCTGTTCTCGTGTTTTCCATTATCTCGGAAAAAGACTTTTAATAAGAGATTATAGCAGGGGATGATCATAAAAAAAGTACCATCAAATCACTTTCCAAATTGAACTGTATTAACGATGCAATGGATTTAATTGGCCGGAAACTTTTCTTTTTTTTTTGGCATCCCTTTTCTTTTAGAGTGCTCTGGATACCCATGTCCGTGCAAAGGTCTGTAATTATATGCAGTCTTCTTGTTCATTGAGCACAGACATCTCAAGATGCTTTTATTGTCAACTTTTCATCACTGCTTTGGAGTTGGGCTAAAGAATTTTGTTGGCTTTCATCAAAGAAAGCTTTTAGAGGTGCGCTCATATGTGCGTTTCTCTCCTAATGCAGTCGTGACTAATGTGTGCTGGCGCAGTGCGTGAGTCAGAGTTTGATGGAAACTGCATTCCCGCTCTTTCTCTCCCGCACTCATTTCCTTCTCATTACGCCACACACACACACACTAATTCAGACATTAATTAGGGCCTATGATGAGTTTCCTTAATGAACTTCAGTATGTGTGGGGGAAAGAAAAAAAAACAGATGGTGGCTTCCAAATTTTGACATGTTTCAGTGGTGGTGATCCACATCATTATGTTAGACTTTCATGTGTGAATTTGAGTCACTTTGAGGGTTCATTGTCATTGTCGTCAAGTGATTTTATCTCCAGGGAGACATGTGTTTATCTTCGAGGAAAACTGGACCCATGTTTGGGTTTATCCTTAAAATACCAGGTTATCAGTCTCAATATCTGGGATTAGCAGGAATTCGTTAAGGTGATTGCTGGCAAGGGTGAAAAACTGATTAGCTACAGATTGACTTCTGATGTTCACATTCAAACATGTGAATGTCCTTGTGAAATAAGGAGCTTTAGAGCAGCCACCAGGATAAACAAATTACACTACCTTACCTACTGTAATGAGGAAAAACATGCTTTTCAAGAACTGTTCACTAGTAGGTTTTTCAGGAAACAATTAATGGCTCTTCATAGACATTGTTGTGCAATTTTCCCTTTTGGGATCGTTATTTTCTAGTTGGAATGTTACTTGCTTAGATAATTAGCTTAATGTTCATTCAGATGTTTACCTTCCTATTTGGTGTTCAAGAAACATTTATTAATTTTCCTTCGGCTTAGTTCCTTATTTGCCACAGCGGAACAAACCACCAACTATTACAGCATATGTTTTACACAGTGGATACCTTTCTACTGGGAAACGCCCATACACACTCACATTGACAAACACACTCATGCATTACGGGCCAAATTAGTTTAACCAATTCACCTATAGCGCATGTCTTTGATTGTGGGGGAAACCGTAGGAAACCCAACGCCAACACGCAGAGAACAAACTCCACACAGAAATGCCAACTGGCCCACCTGGGACTCAAACCAGCGACCTTTTTGCTGTGAGGCAAAAAATTATTATTATCATCTATGTTGAATGCCGTGCTGCTTAAAATGTCTGTGTACAACTCTGCTTCTATGACTAGAAAGTACAAAAGAGCAGAATCATATTTGCAACATTTAACTTTTTTTTTTTTTGTTAAACTTAATGCATTCTTGCTAAATGAATAAAACATGACTTCAATCATTTAAAAAGCAGTGTAGTCAGAAATCATAGTTTACTTAAAGCAAATAATTCAATAAAATAAATTTTTGGGGGTTCATGTGGCAATGAAGATTTAATTAATGATGCTTAAAATTCAGCCTAATGACATTAAATTATATTTATGTATGAATAAAAGACACAAACAATGTATAAATAAATGACATTTTAGCAGCACGGTAGTGCAGTGGGTAGCGAGCGAACTCGCCTCACAGCAAGAAGGTCACTGGTTCCAGCCTTGGCTGGGTCAGTCGGCATTTCTGTGGAGAGTTTGAATGTTCTCCCCGTGTTGGCATGGGTTTTTTTCGGGTGCTCCAGTTTCCCCCACAAGTCCAAAGACATGCGGTATAGGTGAGTTGGATAAGCTAAAATTGTCTGTAGCGTATGTGTGTGAATGATAGTGTATGGGTGTTTCCCAGTGATGGGTTGCAGCTGGATAAGTTGGTGGTTCATTCTGCTGTGGCAACCCCTGATTAATAAAGGGACTAAGCCCAAAAGAAAATGAATAAATTAATGAATGAATGACATTTAAAAAAACGTTCACATAGAACAGTGGTTCTCAAAGTGGGGGTCGGAACATCCTGAGGGGTCGCGGGACAATGAAGGGGGGGTCGCCTGGTGATTTCCAAAAATCTATTTATTTTTATTAAACCATAAGAATTTAAATTTTAATCCATAACCTATTAAAAAAATTGTCGTTTACAGTTACTGTATACACTTCTGTAAATAGTAACTTTATAAGCTTATAGTTACTAGTTCTATTGGATTGCGACCCCTCAGGTAATTACATTATATTAAAGACTCAGTAATAGCGTCAGATGCAGCAGATTGATTTTATAAGACCAGGTTAAACTTTCTGGCACATTTACAGCACCGACATACATTTAAAAAAAATAATAAAATGAAGAATAGACTTTGGTTTATTGGTGTGTGTGCGCCATTGCATGCAAGGTTTCTGTATTTATAACCACCTCAGAGGATATTGGGGGTCGCGAGTCACTGGCATTGTTATTTTGGGGGTCGCGAGCTGAAAAGTTGGGGAACCCCTGACATAGAAGACAGTTATTTTAAATAAATTTGAAAGCAAAATTGGTGGCAGCATGGTGGCTCAGTGGTTAGCACAGTCGCCTCACAGCAAGAGAGTACCGACTTGGTCAGTTGGCATTTCAGTGTGGAGTTTGCATGTTCTCCAGGCGTGGGTTTCCTCCGAGTGCTCCAGTTTTCCCCTAAGTCCAAAGACATGCGGTACAGGTGAATTGAATAAACTAAATTGGTCATTGTGTATGAGTGAGTGTGTGAATGTGAGGGTTTGTGGGTGTTTCCCAATAGTGGGTTGCGGCTGGAAGGACTTCAGATGCATAAAACATGCTGGAATAGTTGGCAGTTCATTACGCTGTGGCGGCCTCTGAAATAGAGACTTAGCTGAAGGAAAATGAATGAAAGTGAAATGATTTTTCTCAACATAGCTGTTTAAACTGTTCAAATAACATTCAGACCTGGAGAGAAGAAGAGACTTTCAAAAACACTTAAAGACAAAAACACTACCTTATCAATCCCAAACATATAATATTGTATATATACATTTAAAGAAATGTCATATAAATGTCAGAATCATCTTAGCAGAGCCACTTGAGTAGCTTTTTACACCTTGGTTGAAAACCCTGCAACTGGAGTCATAAAATGAGTACGAAGAAGCAGCCAAGGGGCAAACATGACTAAATTGGAATCCTGGAGCCAAATTGCTTAGCAAAAGAGTTTTTCAGAATATGTCTTGGAAGAGCTTCCATTACTTCCTGAACTTTCACTGTTTTAGCCACTTCAAAGTGCTTATTGAATCTGGAGAATCATTTGGTTGTTCTTCACTAGATCATTTACAGGAAACAAAATGTAAATTGCACTAGTTTTATGCTTGAGTTGATTACTAATCAGATCCCTCTGTTCTTGTCTCTCCTTCATCAGAGAGCCCAGTGTCTGATCTGAAGTTCCTGCCTCATTCCTTTGTTCTGTGAGGAAGTCATGAAGACTCCATTTTGGACCCTGCTGCTCTTATGCTTGTGCGCTTCAAGTCACAGCGACTGCCAAGGGGACTGCTTAACCTGTGGACTCATCCTGCCTGAACACCAAGCTTTTAATACACTGGTAGGTCTAACTAATTAAAAAAGGTTTCGTCATTTAAATTGAGAAGATTTCAATAGTCATTTTTGACCACTGTTTTTTTTTTTTTGTCATAATAACGTACATGTTTTACAATATCATAGTGTTCACTATAGGTTGCACAGACTAATTGACTTAAAAATTCATGTGGAAATCAAAATGTTTATTTTGCTAGTCACATTGTTATTCTTTACATCAGGAGTTCCCAAACTTTCTCGAATCCCTCAGAGGTGGTTATAAATATATAAACCTTGCACACAACGGCGCACACATACCAATAGGCCAAGTCTCTTCATCATTTATCTTTGAAGAACACTTCTCAGAGACCATCCTCCATGTTTAGGTGTGGCCTGAAATGATTTTTAATGTATGTGAGAGCCGTAAAGGTGTCATAAGTTTAACCTGGTGCTATAAAATCAATCTGCTGCATCTGACGCTATTGCTGTGTCTTTAATATAACATAATCACCACAGGGGTCGCAAAAAATGAAAGATTGATGGTTTGATGATTGATGATTTTATTTGCATTTTTTTAATGTAACTATGATTTTCTTCTGTAGGTTAATTCTATTAGTTTAATAAAATGAATTAGATTTTTGCAAATCACCAAGCGACCCCCCTTCAATGTCTGTCTTCAATGTTTAAAGGTGAACAATTATTCTGTGCAAGTTAATCCACCGTTTGTTTTGTAATCTTCAATCTAATGTGACTATTTGCTTCTATGTGATGGCCCTTAGCCATGCCCCTCTTACCATTAGTTTGCTACAAGTACATGAAGTGCTGTACAGACCATGTGATTTTGATATGAACAACAAAGCAGCTTTTCTCACAGAATGTATTTTCCCTTTTCAAAGTGCTATTTTTTCTTGATGGAAGTTAAAGGAGACCTATTATGCAAAATCACTATTATAAGTGGTTTAATCACAGATGTGAGGGTAGAGTGTGTGAATATAGGTAGCCTTTAATGGTAAAAATTAATTCATTCTATTTTTATAATCACACTTTATAAAAACAGAAAAAACACTTTGATTGACATTCTCCCTTTGTATGTGTCATCAGAGGGGGAAAGCTCTGCCCATTAGTGACAATGGGCCCTATCATACACCCGGCACAAGGCGGGACGCAATTGTTGTTTGCTAGTTTCAGCTTGACGTAAGTGTCATTTTGACGTGTAGCACCACGCTGTTTAAATAGCAAATGCATTTGCGCTCATATGTTTGCCCATATGTGTTCTAGTCTAAAAAAGGAGGTGCGTAATAGTGCATTGCTGGCTCGTTGCTATTTTGAGGATCTAAAATAGACTGCTCCATAGCGCAGAGAGGAGGTCTAAAGTCCAGCGCAGAGTGCATAAGTTGTGCGCCTCCCTTACACATTGCTTAATACACATAGGATATACAGCAATAAACAAATATCTTTACAGATGAAAAATAATTAAAGGATTAAAATATTACAAAAATGATTAATTTCTACATTAATATAAAAACCACCGCCATATGGGGCACAGCATGTGTATTTGGATATAACTCAGTTTTTGACTACCCTTCATTATTATTGTTCATTTATTTGTTTGCTAGAAATTAGAACTGAATTTAGAAATAATTTTGAAACAAATCTTTGTGCTTAACAAACAAAATAATTATGTAGACTAATAGATGTCTGTGCGTACAACACGTTTCCTTATCCACGGAAGAGAGTAAAAGTGAAAGTAAAGAATAAGGAGGCTCATCACCTAATCTCGCGCTGCAGATGCTCTGTTTAACTGTTTTCTTGCAAGTGAAGCGCTCAGTTCAGTCAACTTATAAGTCCATCATGTAAATAGTAAATGCGCTATGGCGCCACGCAACTGACTCTTAAAAGGAATGGGAGATTGGTTTATTCTCAAAACACACCTATAACTGATTAAGAGAATAAGCTTAACCCTGTTAGACCATGCGCTGTGGCGCAAAGTGGATTTTTCCGTCCTTAAAATAGCAAAAGTGGATTCTGACACACTTAATGCTTTTGCGCCCTGTGCTTTTGACTTTGCGCCAAGATCGTTAAAATAGAGCCCAACCTCTCCCTCATTAGCAGAAGACATTAGTTTTGTTTTCTTTTTCAATCTGCCACTATTCTGACCCACAGATATTTGTAGATCCAGAGGACCAATCAGAAAAACTCATATGCAGGGCAAGCATTGTGAGCTTCTGTTTACAGTAGCAAGCTGGCATGACAACTGTGTTATTAGATGGCAACCTGACATAGAAGGCTCTTTAAAAAACAAAAACGTTTCCTAGTGCTGAGTCTCACATTTTTAAACACAAAGATGCGTCCTGTGTAAATAAAGTTACAGACACAGTCAGATGCCGCAGTCTCGCTAGAGTTTGAGGATGCAAAATTACATGCATACAGCGCTGCAAAATGAGGCAGTTTTGACCAAGATGATTAGACATTTAAAAAAAAAAAAAGAGCGATTGGTCCATATTTTCTATTTCTATCACTGAGGTTATCTTCGATTGGTCTCACGCAGTCACATGATGCGATTTTACAGGTCAGAGTTTACCAAGCTTAAACTGTGCAACACAGCGAACTGCAAAATTTGTCAGCTACATTAGCTAGTAGCAGCAACTTTTATCACAGAAATGTCGACTTAGTCGTCTCTGTATTTTTGGTATCCCAGACAGCAATATTTAAACAATTCATGAAAAGGTGAAAAATATAAATGTTGACTGACTTTCTGAGATTAATCGTCAATTTAAACATTAAAATCATGCTTCTCAATAGTATTACTGTGCACTGTAAACAGATATCAGTGCCATTTGTTTGCATCTGAAGAAGTGTATGGAGCAAGAAACTGTCAGATTAAACAAGTAGATTCCCATTCATGGTCTTGAAATCAAATTCATAACAAGAACACATGAATGGAGTGTTCACAACTGCAATACATTAAAAGATGTCTACAGCATGTTTTGCAGCAGGACTGGATTAGCAAACTACAACAGATCAACTATGTCAAAGTTGGTCACTGTCACAATAGTGGCTGTAATGAAGTTGCTAATGGCTTTGCAGAGCAAACAGCTGTGACTGCGGTGATTGGGTTATGTCTGCCTGTAATTGGCTGCCATTGTGTCATCAGCTGCTGATGTTGTGATTGACATTTGGTGAGTCCCAGTGGGCAAGATTTTCCTCTGACACCACAATGTTGTCAGAACCTTGAACATTCATCAACAGATTCATGCATAGTCAGTATTAACACTCACATACAGTACGCAACCATACAGAAACATATGAAAATCTTAATATACAGTGCTTAGCATAAACAAGTTCACCCCATTTGAAAATAATATTTTTATCCATTTCTCAGTGAATATAGGTCATATATTTTGGTGCATTTAAATAAAGCAGATTTATTGAACAGATATTTTTATTAAAATATTTTAGTCACCAAACATCTTTAGAAATAGATAGATCATACATTTAAGCAGCCATGTGAATTATTGCAAAAATATTACAAAACAAAATTTTAAATGTTTTTTTTTCTTTTTTTTTTCCACTTTTGGATTTGAATTTTTACATTTTCCTTAAAATATATATTCGAGCTACTAATATATGGACTGTTATAGTAAGTTATTTTTTTAGATTAGCTCCAGATTTGGCTTCAGTACCTACTAATCCAATGTATATGCACCATGGAAAAATGTCCATTTTTCTCAGAAAACATATTTTTAAAGGTGACGTTGAGTTGAATTTTTTACCAGATGTTGATAGCAACCCAAAAAATCCATATATAAAAATAAAACAAATCTAATTAGTTTACAATTTAAGTTATGTGTAATAAAATGAAATGATGCAGGAAAATGTATTAAACACATAAAGATAAGGAAGTGTAGAAAGACAAATCTCATAGTGGTTCTTCAGCAACCCTCTGCCCTTTGTCATTGTAAATGAATATTAGCTGCTTCAGTTCAACATCCACATTACCAGGGAGATGAAGATGAAACCAGGGTGGACATTTCAGCAAGACTATGATTCAAACCACAGCCAAGTAAACTTTCAAATGCTTTCAGAGCAAGAAAATCAAGCCGTAGAATGGCCCAACCAATCACCTGACTTGAATCCAATAGAAAATACAAAATAAAATTCAGTTTGCATAGATGAGACCCACAGAAACATGAAGATTTTCACACTGTTGAAATTTGTGAAAAACTCACACCTGAGCAGTGCATGTGACTTCATTCTCCATATGAGAGGCGTCTTTAGGCTGCCATTAATTTTTTCCCATTTGGCATCAACATTTCATTTGCAAGGCCAAATACTTTCCATGCATGCAACTTCTTGTTTCACTTGAATGTTCTATGCTGCTACACGCTTTATGATTAATTTTCTCCCTATTAATGCGAGATCATAAAACAGGCTTGCTTTCTAGATAATCCTCTTTAAAGAGGGCATCTTTAGAAAGAACATGCATTTGTCTACAGCTGAGCTCTGCTGATCACATACAAAATGAAGGTTTTTATCCCATTCTAGTCAGTCAATTATCATATCATTTCTTGCACCAATGCCACATATCATTTCACATCTCATTGCACTGGTAAGATGGCTTGCATGCAGCATTGTGCCATTAGGATTTTTTTATATGTACTTTTTATTACAAAGGGCAAATTCCAAAAAAATCATAAAATCTACCAAATAGCGAAAGAAGACTGTTTTCCTAATAAGACACACACATATATTGTGGTCATCTATCTATCTACCAGGATATCCAGGACCACACAGTGGGTAGCACTGTAGCCGTACAGCAAGAAGGTCGCTGATTCGAGCCTCGGCTGGGTCAGTAGGCATTTTTGTGTGGAGTTTTTCTCCCCGTGTTGGCATGGGTTTCCTGCTGGTGCTCCGGTTTCCCCCACAGTCCAAAGACATGCACTATAGGTGAATTGAATAAGCTAAATAGGCCGTAGTGTATGTGTGTGAATGAGTGTATGGCTGTTTCCTAGTACTGGGTTGCAGCTGGAAGAGCATCCGCTGTGTAAATCATAAGCTGGATGAGTTGGTGGGTTATTCTACTGTGGCGACCGCTGAAGAATAAAGGGACTAAGTCGAAAAAGAAAATGAATGAATAATTGTTTAAAATCGTTTCTTTAAAACATTATGTTATAGAATTTAGTGTTTTTTAATGATAAATGGTAACTGCTCTCCCTTACTTATCATACAGTGATTTCCAAATGATCACAGAACACTGAAGACTCGAGACATGACTGCTGAAAATTTGCCTTTGGCATTATCTTTCACTTTAAAAAGTAAACAAAGATTTACTTCATGCCATCACCCCCAAAAAAAATTCTGTTTTGCAGGTGTGTATCCTGGAATGTGAAGCACAGGCGTCTCCGGCACTGACCTGGGATCTGTGTTACCAAGCAGCGGGTTTGAAGCATCTCCCACTGCCCTTGCAGGACGAGGAAACATCAAAGCGCTCAGATGATGAAGCGGAGCCTGTGGCTACAGTCAGCATAGAGAATGACAACGGTGTCGAATACACGGAGGCTTTAGAGCGCTTTCGACACGCTCTGCAGCCTTCAGAAGAGCTGGAGAAACTCACGGCTTCATATGACCCAGACCTCGACCCGCGGACACAGGAAGACCAGGATGATTTAGGAGACGAGAAGAGCGACGACGCAGCCGTAAGCGTGTCCAAACGATTCGGGGGCTTCATGAAAGGTCGTCACGGTTTACGTAAGCTGGTGAGCTCCGGAAGGCCTTTGCAGAAGCGCTACGGAGGCTTCATAGGGATCAGAAAGTCTGCCCGTAAGTGGAACAACCAGAAGCGCGTGAGTCAGCTCCTGCGCCAGTACCTGAGTTTAACGGGCCGGTCAGGTCGCTCGGGTCACATCAACAGCCTCTCCACCAGAATCCGGAGACAGAGCGAGGTGTAGGTGGCTGTTAACACAGGCCACGGTCACTTACCTCATCAGTAACTGTGAACATCTCCATCATGACATGCACCGCGACCCCAGAACTAATGTTAGATGTAAATCTGTGTTTAATCAAAGAAGAGGAATATTTTGTATAGCTGGGTTTTTAATCATTGACATTTCCATGGTGGCGACATCCCCCCCAAAAAAGCATCTGTTAGGACGAATGTTGCTGATGATGAGAACTGATTGTTCATTTATCTGAAACTCCGTCAATTAACCTTTGAAGCATTGTGAATACAAAATAATAAAAGGCAAATCAGTGAAACTTGAATGAGCACGTGAATCCGTTACAGATGAGAGAGAGCGAATAGGCTGTGGAGGAGTTTGCTTCTGTTTGAGGTAAAAACAAAAAAAACAAAAGCACTTTATATTCTTACCTTGCACACTGCTTTGTGCTATGATTGGTTGTTTTGCACAGATTTGTGTTGAATGGAAGTGTCTTCGAAGACCTTGGAGCAATCAGACTTGGTTAAATTCAAAAATCAATAGGTGATTATGTTTGGTTCACCATTACAGGAGTGATGTAATTCGGAAGCTGTTAGATGTTTTTGTCGGGTCACTGCTGCCCCCTAGAGTTTATAGTCCAGATTATTGTTGGTAATATGTGGAATGCCAAACATTAAAGCAGGGGTGCTCAACCCTGTTCCTAGAGACCTACCTTCCTGCAGAGTTTTGCTCCAACCCTGATCAAACTCAACTAAACCAACTGGGTAGGATCTAATGGAGCGCTTACTAATTAAAGACAGGTGTGTTTGATCAACGTTACAGCTAAACTCTGCAGGAACTCCAATAACAGGGTAGGGCACCCTTGCATTAAAGGGCTAGTTCACCAAAAAACAAAAAGGAAAAAAAAATCCTTTAAATAGTTTCTTTTTTTTCTGTTGAACTGCCAGCCACCTTTGACTTCCAAAGTAACTTAATGGGTGCCAGCAACCAGCATTCTTCAAAACATCTTCCTGAAAATGAAGGGTGGGTTAAAAAAAGGCAGAATTAAAAATTTTGGTTCAATTATCTCTAAACTAGGGCTGTGCGATTTGGGCGATTTATTTAATTTTATTTTACAGATATTGCTATTTGATTTGTGATTTAATCCAAGCTGATTTTAATTTAATTCAAGCTTCAGCTCAATAATCTGTAAGTCGTGGCAACAGTTCTGCTCTTAAAAATTTCCTTGGTGTAGGTTGTTGTGGGGAGTCGTAAGCGACAAATGGTCGTCGACAACCGATACCATGTATGCGAACCCTCACGACACCATTGCAGAAAGTCTAGCGTGTTTAATTTTCAGATGCATAGTGGATTTGTTTTGAAGCACGTCACCTCAGTTGTTATTCGTTATTTTTGTTTATATATACACATATATATTTTATATTGCAGTTACATGCGATTATATAATTGCAACGTTCCAAATTGCGATTCGATTTCGATTAATTGCACAGCCCTACTTTAAACCCTGACTGATGCTGCAGAAATAGTATGGCAAGCTGTTTTAACATTTTATCTATATACCAAACTAGCATCTTTCATGCTACTGGTGCTTGTTTTGTAGACACCTGTATCTTTCCTGTACAGTATGTAGTAGTACTTTTTCTTTAGAAACTAATACTAGTATATTTAAAAAGCAAGGCTTACAAATCTGGTAGCGCGATGTCCTGAGGCTATTGTTTTTTTAGTCAGGCTACTAAAATCTATCTACACCGTGCCTGATTCTGCTCATAGATATCCTGCAAGGGCACGGTGTAGATAGATTATGGTAGCCCAACTAAAAATAGCCCCGGGATGTCAGGCTACCAGATTTTGCGAGCCCTGAAAGATACTAATACTAGCACTCATTTAAGAGTCTAGTAGTAATTTATTTGGTACTAGTACTTATTTATTAGACACTAGTATTGTAGTAGTGTAGATATCCTAATAACATCCTTAGTGAAGTCAATGGCAAGCATTTGCACTAGTGTCAAAACTGTAAAAATGTAATGACAAAAAGTCAAGACAGCTAATATTTTTATGTTGCTTTAACTTATTTTAATACGTCAATTACAATTTTTGAAGTTATACAAAGTTTAACTTAATATTTTCAGTCAGTTTGATTAATAAAGTTTAACTTAATATTTTCAGTCAGTTCGATTAATAAAGTTTAACTTAATATTTTCAGTCAGTTTGATTAATAAAGTTTAACTTAATATTTTCAGTCAGTTTGATTGGTAAAGTTGAGATGATTAAAAAAGTTCATTTGATTCGACAAAAAGATGTAAGATAAGAATTTTTTTATGTGTATGTAATTACTTATAATGTAAAATAATGTTAAAAAAGTGTTAAATAACGTTAAAAAGTCGTTTGGTAAATTACTACTCTCTAATAGCTAGAATGTACTAAGATTATATTAAAAATTGACTAGTAAGTAGAGAATAAGAACTAGTGCTTAATGAAAAAGATAGTAGTACCTGGAAAAAAAAGTGTACTGCACTGGTAGCATGAAGATAGATGCTAATGCAGTTTATAGATTAAATGTTAATTGCCATTAACTAGGCAACAATACTAAACAAAACCAAATCTTACGGTGGCCTGTCCAAGTTAGCCAATCAGAAAACTTGGTTGGTCTTCTCGGGCCAGTGGAGTGAGATTACCTGTTCGTCCTAACCACGACAGAAAAACCTTTTCAACTTCAGTTTTGTTTTTCTGTTCAGTTTAGTGTAGCAGAAATATGACATTTAAAGTGATTCTCCACTCAAAAAAACTATATTTACTCACCCTCAAGTGGTTCCAAAACCTTTGTAACTTTCATTCTATTGTTGAACACAAAAGAAGATCATTTGAAGAAAGCTGAAAACCTGTAAACACTGACTTCTATAGAATGAAAGGAAGTGAATAGTTTTCAGCTTTTTTCAAAACATTTTCTTTTGTGTTCAACAGAGGAAAGTAAACCCAGCTGGCACAACATGTCAACATAACATAAGATTGACATTCTACTCCAACATCGTCAGATGTTGCATTTTGTTTGGATTTAAAAATTGGGTTGACGTCAAAACCGGACCTCAGTGTCCAACTACAGACGACGTTGCATTTTAGTCACTTTCCAACACAACAAAACATCAATGTCTATTAATGTTACAGATTGATGTTATCAAATGACGTCCATCAGATGTTGCATTTTGGTTGCCGTACCTGACAAATAAATGTCAGTTTTGACGTCGATATGACATTGGTTTAAGATAAAGAGTTGAAGTTGGATTTTGTCCATTTTCCAACGTAACCTATAAACAACTAAATATTAATGTCTAATAATGTTACAGCTTGATATTGTGTGGACATTACCAATATGACGTCTATCAGATGTTGGACATTGGTTGGCGTACCTGACCAATAAATGTCAGTTTTGACGTCAATATGATGTTGGTTCTACGTTGGATTTTGATCACTTTCCAACGCAACCTACAAACAACAAACTAATGATAGAGCCTGACATTGTGTGGACGTTACCACTATGACATCTATCAGATGTTGGAATTTGGCTGCCATACCTGATAAATAAATGTCAGTATTTGACGTCAATATGATGTTGGCTTAAGATGTTGGTTCGACGTTGGATTTTGGTCACTTTTTAACACAACCTAAAATCAACAAAATATCAACATTGTTATTGGACGTCAAAATAACATTGTCCTTAGATGCTGGCGACCTAAACTTAACCTAATATTAACGTCTTATAATGTTGTGCGTCTGCTTGTAAGGGTGAGTAAATGATGACAGAATCGTTCCCTTTAATTGTTTGGTTTAACCTGGTGGCTATTTAGCACGTGTTCCTGCTTTCTGCAACTGCATGAACGTAAACAAACGACATCATCATAGTCCTCGACAGACCCTTACACACTGGAAAATGTCAAGGAATGGGTTCACTAACAAACAGTCTTTCTGGACAGTATTCTGCATATAAATGTTCTGTCTGTGTCGACTCTTTGTGAAGAATAACGTTCATTTCAGACACATTTTTTTGGAAAGTGATTTTTTTTTATTGTTTCAATCCTTTCCACTTGTACATGAAATGCACACAACAGGCCAATAAAATAATTTGACGATTATTCCTGTTATTTGTCATGCACAAATGACAAGCGTTTGAAATTTGCATATTCAATCTTGTGTCTTTTTAATTATACAGTACATAATATCTCTTTGTTTTTTATCTGATGTTACAGTTTGAAATCCTTTTAAATGTTCCCAAAGGAATGATCCAGTATTGTACAAGACCTAAACACATTTTTTTTGTTAGTTTTTTTTTTTTTTGGAAGGATGACAAGAAACATAGAAAAGGAAACAAGCCCGATCTATAACTCGGGACAGTATTCAGTCTAGCTCCCTTTAAACTCTTTGCAATAGCACTTTGGTATTCAATCAAAAGGTTATAGCTGCACTTTTTTTTCTCCATCAGACAACACACCGTGACCACCCGTGTGGCCGACGACAACATTCACTTCATCTTTCACTCGACACCACTGTAGCTTTATATCTGGCAGTTTAGATTGATTAGGAAGCGCTATGGCAAACGACCTTAGTCAAACCTTTGCGAAACAAAGTAAATACATAGAAAAAAAAAGACAATACGTGACAATACACAAAAAAAACGGCAATAGAAAAACATCATGAAAATGCTTAAAGCAATACATTGTCCACAGTATACAAAAAATAAAATCAACAATCACTTAAATATCTGGGCTATGGTTGAATAAGTGCAGGAGCAGGGTTAAAAACACCTTGTTCAGATACAGGATTACACTTTAGACTTGTGCGAGAGGGCAGAATTCACCTTCGAAGGGTCGGGATCCTACAACTCCACAGTCTTGACAGCTAGTACCAGCGTTCACTTTGTGGAAAAACAGAACCAAAACACGCACAAAAAAAAGGTAGAAAAGTGAAAAGAGGGGTCCTCTACAGTGCAGGAAGTAATTGGAGGACAGAAAGAAAGTAGAGATTCTTTCTCATCTCCTCAAGTCTTTTTGTTTAGTCTGGAAACCGCTGACAAGCTTTCTTCCAGCGGCAGGCGGTGCACCATTGGTCCCTGCGCTCCACGCCATACACTTTTCGGCACTTTTTGGCCTCGCCGCGCCCCTTCCTGAGCACACAGAAAGAATGCATGCAGACTGAGAAATTGTAAACATCAAGTGAAGTCAAAATTGTTAGCCCTCCTGTAATTTTTTTTTCTGATGATGATGATGTTACAGAGCAAGAAATTTTTCACGGTATTTCCTATAATATTTTTTTCTTCTGGAGAAAGTTTTTATTTGTTTTATTTCGGCTAGAATAGCAGCAATTAATAAAAAAAAACATGTTAAGGGTAATAGGGGGGGTGTCAAGACGCTTACTCCATCGGACGAGACGTGAGGTTGGGTTCATGTGAACAAGACAAGATTTTTACCCTATTTTTAAGAAATCTTCAATGATGAAATTGACTCTTATTTAATTATTTTAGTCTCTTATTCTCTTATATTCTTATTTTAGTCTCTTATTTAACTGCAGGAAAAAACAAAACTATTTAGCTTTTTTAAAATGAACTTGTGATGAATGATATTTTTCTTCTATTTGAATGAGTTCTAGGCCTATGCTAAAATGGACTTGCAAACATAGCTAAATATTTAGCTATAAACTCTACTGACTGGCTTCTCCCCAGTACAATTTCACATAAGAAATCAAACTTTTTTTCCACAAATGGAACTTTTTAGTGTGTGTTCTGTGACGATGACGATGGGTGTTTGTGTCTCCAGGAGTTTACTGTGTCTGTGGTGCGCACTCAGAGAAGATGTGTGTCTGTGGTCCATTACTGACTCGATAGGTGCAGAAAACAGTGTCAAACAGCTGTGTGTGTATGCCTTTTTGCAAAAATGCGGCTAAAAGTCCTACACGACGGTTATAGTTTGATTACAGCGTTTTCGTGTTTGTCCTGCACTTGGCCTCAATTCAAATAAAATAGGAATACTCCACATGTCTTGTTTCCATTTGTGTTTATGACGATTATGACTTTCAGCATACCTAAAGTGCTTTTCCATCGCATGGTTATGAGCCGTGGTAAATTGTTGTCGCAGCAGTTGTTTTTGGATGCGGCAACCTTTGAACTCCGCTGAAAAAGGCGGTTATGTCACACCCGCCCAAGCAAAGGAGTGACCCGCAACACCGAGGCAGCCCGGGTTGCTAGGTGTGTGCAAAGCACTTGATGTGCAGTTTAAATCCAATCCTGCATCCAATCTTCAGCGCTAAATTCATCCACACACTCATAACATCAGATCCCAACTCACGAGAAACAAAACTTTTCATCTCGATGCCGCAAAACAAACCACTGTCGTACAATGACTTGCCCAATTACCCTAACTAACCTAATTAACCTAGTTTAGCCTTTAAATATCACTTTAAGCCAAATACTAGTATGTTGAAAAATATTATGACATTAAAAAGTATTAAAAGGTGATGAGAAGGTTATGAGAAAAGGAAGGCCCTTAAAAGCTATTAAAGTCTTAATCACATTTTTACAAGGTCCAACATTTTGTTCAAGTGTTGTTTAAAGTGTTTGACTCCAAAAAAGCATAAATATATTTGTTTTCCTCCTAATATTAACAACGGCGTGCTTGATTTACGCAACTGGTTCATGCTGAGGCGCATTCGGCTAAGCTCCTCCGTCCGGGTGATGTTACGTAATTTGCGACAAACTCAGGAAGGTGATGAGACGCTCTCCACATGTAGCGAAACCATAGAGCGAAACAGACGGCAAAATGGGAAAGTTTGTGTACTCCTGGTTGGAGAAAGACGAGTTTAAACAGTGGCTGAAGCCTGTCGCTGAAAACAACAACGTAGTTTATTACGTAGCTTTGTTTCTTCTGAGCTTTTGTTTCCCCATTCATTTATTTAACTATAACTGCTTATTAAGTTAAAGGTTTGACACTGATTAGATCTTGAAGTGGCGACGAGATCTTAAAATATTCTGAGAAAAGTCTTTAAAAAGTCTTAAAAAGGGATTGAATTTACCTTTAGGATTCTTGCATATACCCTGTATTATGTACTGTCATCATGGCAAAGATAAAAGAAATCAGTTATTAAAACTTTTATGTTTGGAAATGTGTTGAAGAAAAACCTTCTTTACATTTCACAGAAATTGGGGGAAAATATACAGGGGGGCTCGTAATTCAGGAGGGCTAATAATTCAGACTGTTAAGTGCCCACTTATCCTACTGTAAGGTTGCTGACTTAGTTTTGAATGTGTCAAAAAACTAAATTTGCACTAATACAAAGACTGTGGCCCATGCTGCACAGATAGCGCTTTATATTTGTAAGCCGCTAAATGATTTTTAGGCTAATAAATACAAATCAAAACCCTCATGCAATACATGTAGAAGTGGACCAACTGCCCACTGCTACCAACTGATAACATTGTAAAAAGAAGACATTTTCAATTTGATCACCAATATTTTATGCGTCACTAATTTGGTCAATGCAGAATCAGCTCTTTTTTACCAGTGTCTGAAATGGGGATTCGAGATCCCTTTATATCTCTTCTTTTTGAGAGCCCACTCTGCTGTGACTGGTCTATCATTTACACAGTGTCCACAACACAGTCAAGCAACCCGACGTGACTAAAAACAATGAAACTCATCATAAACAGTTGTTCAGACTTCACTTGATTTGACAGTTAAATGACTTGCAATGGGCACTTTATTGTACAACCTTTGTAGCCTAATAGGCTTTTTGCACAGCAAGTGTTTTTCAGGCATCGATACACCTCTGGTGAAAGGTTGATGTGACTATTTTCAATTTCATACGGTTTCTTTTAAAGCATCGATAATGTCATTTCATTAAAATACAATCAGTTAAATAGACTTAAGCATTCCTTTAGTTGTCCAAGTGTAAAATGAGGTGAAAGACTGTTTAAGGAGCGTCGTCAGGAGCATCATTGAACCTTATTGAAAACACTGTGGTAAAATAAATCTCCATATTTTAAAGACATGGCAGTACACAAAGCAATGTAATGCAGTGTTTCTTGTCTGGTGTGAGACTCACTTTATATTTTATGTCAATCAGGCAGTGAAGTTCATTAAATTGTTAAAGAAATCAGATCATAAATATGGCGCTTTTATAATGGCATCATCGTAAATGCTTGAGCTGGCTTACTGAAAAGTAAAAGCCCCTGTGCATACAGCCCATTATTAGACTACGCTATTCTATGATATTAGCGATGTCATTTTACATTCATTTGTTTCTTCATCTATTTGGCCACATTGTTTTAAACTATGCTTTATAGCTGTGTGTTGTGATCAGACTGTCAAAACTAGTTTGTTTTTAATTCTTTAAATAATGCAATTCCATTATTTTGATTCACTGAGAAAATACTATAGATTATTTTATGTATTTATTGTATTAGATCAGATAAATGTTTAAGCTATCATATGGTCATGTACAATGTGCCTAATGTTGCCACATTTAACTCTCCCGATCTTATGATGTATATGCTCTAATAAATTAATTAAAAGCACATATTTGGACTTGATAATTTTGAGATAATTTAATGTTTATTTACAAAAATCTGAGAAATTCAAAAGTGTTTTTGTTTTGTTTGTGGGTTTTGCTCTGCTCTCACCTACTAACTATAAGAAATGTTTTATCTAAAAAAAACCAAAAAGGCATACAGAAGGCCCAATTCTTATAATAACAAGAATACAGTATATATATATATATATATATATATATATATATATATATATATATATATATATATATATATAATTAAAAAAAAAAAAAAATTTTATGCTTTAAGACCTAATAGGATTTTTTCACGCTGTTCCTCTAGAGGGCAGCATCGTGTGCAGTACCTGAATGAGCAGTGTCCTCTGGATGGAGACGCACTGATGGTGTGTGATCTGGTGGAGGTGCTGTTCCTCTGGAGCCACTGCTCTCCCACACTCACCGACCGGCTGCGAGGGGCTGGAATCTACACATCAATACAGTGACAAAAGGCCAGATGCCATAAGTGATTCAGGTTCTTAATACACTTTAAGATGAGGAGTGCTTGTGGATATCAGACTAACCTGAGGTTTCTGCTGGACGTCTCCAGGCGGAGTCCAGCTGCAAAATGTGGGGCTGCCCGGAGAGACCGTCACCTGAATGGGTGAACAGGCCTGCAGGGAATGACACAAGTAAACACACTATTGACACAACTATAGTGTATATTACTTGAACAAGATTTCAGACTAGGCAGAAACAATGTTTAAGATGCTGAAAATCATACCCAGAAATGACTTTATTTTATTTTATTGTTTATTTTAGTAATTATTTTGGAAAATTGTAACGAGATTTTACCCAAACAATATATTTAATATAGGTGTTATTTATTATCATCACTTAATTATATTGAATTAAAGCAAACAAAACTGATTTGTACCAAAAATTAATTGAAATGAAAAAATGAAAATTGAATGATATTTCCATTTTACTTTGATGGTAAAATATTTAAACAATGGCTGTAATAATTTGTTGTAAAATTTATTCAAAGACTGTTGATAGTAAAATGATTGCCCTCCTGTGAATTTTACTTTTTTGTTTTTTAAATATTTCCCAACTGACAATTAACAAAGCAAAGACAATATTTTGCACAGTGTTTCCTGGGTAGGGCTGATAAAACGGTATCTGTATTTATTGACCAAACACCTTTGTCAATATCGATAAAAAAATGGTAAATGAAACCATGCTCCGTGTACTTTCCACACACTTTTAGATGCGATGTGTGAACAGATGTCAGGTTGGTTGAGGCATCGCCACCTCAGAATAACAGACGTGAAAATGAGTGCCATGACTAGCAGCAGTAAGGAGATTGTAAATAAAAAAGGATATAAGGATGTGGCTTTTTGGTTTCTTTTCTTGTGCATCCCAGCCACTAGTAGCACCCCATCTGAAAGATTGTTTAACTTCACAATTTGTAATGTTGCAATATGTATTTGAATAATGATGCTTGGCTCCTTTCCTTAAAAGAGTTTGAGGTTTACTGTATAGTTATTATCTTAAGCCTGGTTTATGCTTCTGCGACAAGTGATCTGCGTAACCCACGGCGCATGCGATGCACGTAGCCATGCATTTAAACTTCTGCGCGCTGTTTTGTGTTCCTCTGCAATAACACTTCCGAAACACTAGCTGGCAGTATGTGTTAATGTTTCTCTGTGTCAAGTTTCTTCACTGGTGTTTTGTTTTTTCTGAACGCTACCTTAATGTAAAAGTGGCTCAAATTCGCTCATTTTAAGGCTGGAATCTGCGAACGTGCAACAACTTTAATCATAAAATAAACACAAAACTACGGTGTCCATCTGGAGCTCCTTCACGAGACTCCACACTTGTAAACACTCGCTGCATCAGGCTCACACGGCTCTCACCTTCGCCCACACTCCTCAGCACTATCAAGTCGACAAATAACAGAGCTTGCGATAAGCGTTGTTGCGACGTGTAGTTAAATTTTTTGAGAGGTACGCGTCAATGTTGCCGACGGCTACAGCAAATGCTATGCACCCACGCGTAGGCTACGCTGTAGCATAAGTGTGTGCTTGACACAGAAGTATGAATCAACCTTTACAGATGTTGATCAACTTTAAAGTTTGCTTTGAAGTTTAAGAGTCTCTTTAACACTTATTTACTTAGTTTTGATTGATTTAATTAAATTAGAATAAAGTGATTGAATAAAAAAATCCTAATATTCCTAAATGGATTTTAAAAAAATATTCAATTATTAATACCAATATCGATATATGAAACATTATATCGTGATCTTTTTTTCTTTTTTTTTTGCTGTATCGCCCAGCCCTATTTCCAAATATATATTTTTTCTTTTGGAGAAAGTCGGTTTTCATTTAGTTTTGGCAAAAAACCTTGCCTAATCAACCAAACCTATCTAGTTAACCTAATTTGTACTCTAAGCTTAATTCAAAAATCTTGCAAAAATAAGTTATTTGAACTATAATTTCTAAAAATGTGCAGAAAAAAAACTGTGAAAACTCTAAATGAAACAACATGGGAAATATTTTTTAAGGAATCAAAATTTCACATGAGGCTAATAATGTTACCTTCAACTATACATTAAAGGATGTAAATGCCACTAACAGGTTGAGTAAGAGTATATGAATGCATAATAAAGAGCAGAGAGAGAATAATCTCAGTATTTTTATAACAGCTGTAAACCTGAATGTAGGCCTGACAGTAGCTTAATTTACATTACTTAACGATAAACTGTAAACTAGGGTTGCACGGTTTACCAGTACTATGGTAGTATCGTGACACTCTAACACCGAAATACTGGTGGTGCCATTGCAGATTGTAAATGATAGAATCATCATTAATGGTTTATCTACAATAGATATGTTGCATATGGAAAAGCCACTAAAATACTCAGGTTTGTGCAACAATAAACCACTTTATTTTAATAGTCTGTGGAGCCCTTTAAGGTTCCTGATGTTTTCTGATGTTTGCTCACGTTAATCGCACATCTGAATGGGTTGATTTCTGTTCCTCTTAATATGAACTTGTTGACTGGTTGAATCTACAACAACCACAACAATCTCTTAAAAAGAACGACTCACAAAGTGAAATTTTGAATTACTTTGGATTGTTACCTGATAGGACTGATTAAAAAACACTAAATGAAAAACCCAAAATAGCATCAGGAAACATTGAAACAATTTTTGGCCACTTCATTTAGCCTGATTTTGTTGGAAAATTAGACAAATTTAGTTTGGTATAATTTGTATCGTTATTTTAATGTATGTTTGTTGGCCAGTTATCTACAAAATAAACAAAAAAAGAATGAATAATTGTAGGTGAAGTGACATGCAAATAATACTTTTTTCAATAATAAGGGAATTATGAATTAAATTCAAGTAGACCTATTATAACATGTAATATAGTATTTCTGACAATTTTCTTTATAATTTGAGTTATAAATTACAGTAATAATTGCAATACTATTTGGTATTGTGATACATCAGCTTGTATAGTATTGTAAGATGAATTAATGGTATCGCGACAACCCTACTGTAAACCTAAAAAAAAGAGCAGAATTCAGCAGCTATCTTAGCGGACCTCTACCTGATAGAGGTGTTCAGTGTGAATCTGCCAGACACTGCTGGGAGCGGATTGGCTGAGAGGACTGGACAGGACTGTTGTATCCTGGCTTTGTGTGGAGCTGCAGGATGTCCAGGCTCCACTGGAGAAGGAAGGCGCGGGAGATGAAGGTGCAGTGTCTTCATCTTCAGAGGAGACCTCTGTGTAGTAGAAGTCTTCCTCTCTGTGGGACTGCTCTGAGCCTCCACTGTTTGACAGAAAACAAAATCATGCCAATAAAAACATTATTTCTAGCTTATTCTTAGAGGGTCACCTGAATAATTTCTCTTTCTAATTTGTGCTGAAAGAGAGAGATGCACATGAGTATTTTTAAATAGCACATGAGTTCACATACACCAAAATAAAGCCATTTTTGTGCCAAAATTCTAAACAGAAATCATAAAATGTACATCCAATTTGGTCTTTACAAAAATGCATTTGCTAAAACAAAATCAGAAATGGCTCATTGCTGATAAAAGATTCCTGACCCCTGCATTAGGTGGTGTAAATACAGCTTATACTGGCTTTTCCGACCATGATTAAACAAAAAAAAAAAAGATGTTTAACACAAGCAGTCAAGCCGCTGCTAAACAATTGGGTCGTTTAGTGTGTGTGCACATGAATTGTGAGTTTTGACTGTATATCACCTGCAATTTACCCATACAATATGAGCTGGTACCTAGCTGAAATGACATGAAAATCGCAAAGAAAAAGCCATCAACCTCGTTTTAGTCACACAACTCTCCTTCCCACCAACACTCATCACTGATAGGAAGCCAAACAATTACAGATTTTTCCCTCCATGCTGTTCCGACCTGTAGTTTTATTTTTTAAAAGCTGCAAGTCAGGGTATGGTGAACGGTATGCGACCCTAATCCTACCATAAGCATGCAGAAGTATAAACTGGCCTTTAGGTGTTAAAGATGTATCATTTGGGTTTGCGCAAGCATACTCACCCGAGGTGAAGAATGCGAATATGCCGCTTCATGCCGACACGCGATGTCAGCACTTTTCCACAGCCCGGCCACAAACACCTGTATGCTCCCCGGCTCAAGCTCTGAGAGCAAGAAAGTAAAACAACAAGTGAGTCACACAAATTTTGAAAGCATCAGCTTAAAGTGCTGCATGTTCGCCCTCTGGGTCAGCAATCTGACAGTCGTCTCTTTCTCACCTTGCACCTCCGGGCCTCAGGCTCCTCACATGCACCTTGGTCCAGCTCCATGTGCAGGCCCTCGTCTGTGGGTCGGCCGGGGCTCCTGTCCATCTCATTGACCGATGGAGACGGGGCTGGGCTTACATTTCCATGGTCCCAACTCCAGTAACCACTGCTGCCACTGTCAGATAGATCACCTCCACAACACTCCATGTCCCCTACAGTTACAGAAGCAGAGTCAACAACACAGGCTTAAACAGTGGGATTACTCAAATTCATGGTTGGGTTGTGCATTACACTGTTTAATAAGATAATACGATTTAATAGTCATATAATTCAATAAGTGCACAGTCAAAAATAGAAATTCATAAAATTATATCTGGTGAATAAACCATACAATTATAGAAACGAATTGTTGGGATTTATGTAAAAAAACAGCGTAAAACAATAATTTAATATTTAGAAAATCAAATATATTTATAATAAAAAGCAACATAATGTATGATTGTTGCGTTGTGTTACAATGTTTTTTCAAAATATTACATAATGATCATATACGTAACCCTGGACCACAAAACCAGTCTTAAACCTGGTTTATACTTCTGCGTCGAGTCATGCATTTATACTTCTTCATGCTGTTTGTGTTGCTCTGCAAAAACACGTCTGAAAGGCTAGCTGGGAGTAGGTTTTTATGTTCCTCTGTGTCGAGTTTCTTTGCTGGTGTTTTGTTTTTTCTGAACGCTATCTTAATGTACAAGGGGCACAAACTGGCTCATTTTGAGGTAGGAACTGGCGGACATGCAATAACATTAATCATAAGGTAAACACAAAACAAAACTTTCCACTTGGAGCTCCTTCACAGGACTCAACACTTGTAAACACTCGCTGCAATGAATTTGCGCGGCTCTCAGTCCTGCCCACACTCGTCAGCGCTACCAACCAGACCAAAAACAGAGCTTGAGCTATGCATCGTTGCAACATGTAGTTACATTTTTTGAGAGGTGAGCATCGGCAACGGTCCCGGCGAGGGCGACCACACGAAGGCTGCGCCGGAGCATATGTGTGCACTTGATGCAGAAGAATAAATCAGCCTTTAGGTTGCATGCTTATATTTGTAGCCAAAATTTATTGTACGAGTCAAAATTATTGATTGTAATTTCATGCTAAAAATATTAAGTAAAAATGATCTTCCATGAAGAAATTTTGTATTGTTTGTTTGTTACAGGAACGCACCACTTTTTTGTGGAACTGGACTCATTTTACAACTCTCCTAGTTAAACAGTTGATCTTTAGCATTTTTTAACCGATTCAGCCAAGAGCGTAGAATTGGCATGGACGCGTCCCCACCAATATCCACCAATACCTGAAATGTCTCTACCAATAATTGAATTAACTTCAAAATCGAGAAATACTCCTTCACCTCTTAACCTACACGTGCACAAAGTCAAGTACGGGTTCACCGTAATACTATCAACCAAGGCTGTGCACTTAAGCAAAATTCAGTTTCGATTATGGCCTCGATGATTATGAAAAACAAGAATCAGGATAAAACTATTAAACTGATTCACACACCTCTCTAAATTTCTCGACATTCATACCTCCACAAAGCCCAGCTGCAGTAAAATCATGTAAATTGACTTTTGCAGCATGGGACATGATTGTTAATTTTAATATTAAGTGTTTATTTTATTTTATTAAGTAATTTATTTATGTTTTTAAAAGCGCAAAACAGATTTTGTGCTGTTCAATGCATGAGCTCAAGGGATGTATGTCCCCACCAATGCCAAGAGCGAATTTACGCCCATAGATTCAGCTGATCTTCAGGTCTGGCAGGAGCATTTTTAGCTTAGCTTAGCATAAATGACTAAAATGGATTAGACCATTAGCATCTCACTCAAAAATGTCCTATTTAAAGCTTGACTCTTCTGTTGTTACATCATGTAATGATACAGACTGAACATCGCTGCCGATATTATGCTGCACTGTTACTTTGTTAGCTAATGGGAACTATTTTCAGGTGCTGCAGAATATCACTGCACCTGCTGCAGCCAATGGAATGGCAGCAAACCTTCTTGATTATTATGCCAGAATGAGAGTATAGTTCCACAAAACACCATATCAACCCAATAACCAAATAACCCGTCAGTCTTAGTACCGGCTGCAACTGCAGAATAGTCAAGCTTTTAAAAGGAAAATTGCCTAAACTCCATATAGACATTTTTGAGCGAGATGCTAATGGTCTAATCCAATTCAATGATTTATGCTAAGCTAAGCTAAAAGTGCTCCTGTCAGACCCGGAGAGCAACTGAGTGGATTTTAAAATGCCTAGGGGAGTTGCAAAATTAGCCTTTGTTCTTTTAAGATTTCCAAAAAGTGAAATTCACCTGGTAGGAGGTCTTTTTGCGGGGGGCTTTGGACCACTGGACTGCAGGACAGACTGGTGAGCACCATCGCAGCCATGATCTCATCCATCTCCACTGATTCAGGACTTCTGCGCCATGGCAGTAAAAAAACACAACAGTTCATGAAAACAGAGCAATACTCATCAGACAGAGCTAAAAAATGAAACGTTTTAGAAAATGAATCGTTTTTGCCTTGGTAGGACAACATACTGCAGAGATTAAATGGATGTGCATGTTAACCTGTAAGGTAAGTCCATGCCGGAAGACCTTGGGAAGGACATTAGGTTTGTTTGCTGTGTGTTGGCATCGACAGACCAGTCTGTGGTGGCAGATCCTGCATTCAGCTTCTTCTGCACCCCTTCTCCTTGCCCACAACACTGCATGTAGACCTACAGGATTAAAAACAACCACTTAACGCTAACATACACACTAGCTACCCTTTTCTCATTTAACTTGTAACTTAAAAGAGCATATTTCGACAACTGAATGAAATTCACACATACCAGTCCATCCTGGCCGTCAATGCCCATCGTGTCAAGTCCTGCTCGGGATCCTACCGCTGCCATACTGTGTCCTCTCAGCTAAAACAGTCGGCTTTGACTGAGTCCGCACAAAAAACAGCTAGAAAGAAGGTAAACTTGTTTAAAACAGTGTTATTGTGAGGATTGAAACAACACGCGAGCTCTGCGACAGCGCCATGAGGCCACGAGAACGTGCTACAATATTAACTAAATAAATATATTTACAAACATCATCTAAGGCAAACCAATCCGCTTAAACATGTGAGAAATTAATTACTTAACCTATTGTATTCACATAAAAACGCCAATAATGTAATGCAAAAAATATTAAAATACCTTTGTCGAACACGCGATAGATTTTTTTTGCAAATAGTCAAGCAGCGCAGTCGGATATTGCTTTACTTTTTTTTTTAGGGCAACACACCCCCTGACGGAGAGCCTCTCACATACTGTAACTCTGGATTTATGGAGTGAAATCATGGAGATGGCGAAAACACGGAGCGGAGTTCGGATTCATTTTAGTGATTCAAGTGTTTTGCTAAAAGTATTCGTCCAGAGGTTATTTATCTTGCATATTAAATCATTATTTGTGCATATATATATTTTATACTTTATAGTACGACAGTCCTAAATTTTCACTGCTTGGTGTAGGCTATATATTATATTTACCGAATGCGAAAAATAAAAATCGCAAGTTTTAACTAAAGTGTTTACAATCCACAGGCCACAAAATATGATCATCCTGGTGCAAGGGTCCAACATCCGAAACATTTAAAAGGTATCTGTATTATTTCTTTCACAAAGAGCCTTTTTTACGAATATTATAAATGGGTCTAAATTATTATCAGGAAAATGTTTTGTTTTGTGGCGAGGCAGTGGCGCAGTAGGTAAAGCTGTCGCCTCACAGCAAAAAGGTCGATGGTTCGAATCTCGGCTCAGTTGGCGTTTCTGTGTGGAGTTTGCATGTTCTCCCTGCCTTCGCGTGGGTTTCCTCCGGGTGCTCCGGTTTACCCCACAGTCCAAAGACACGCGGTACAGGTGAATTGGGTTGGCTAAATTGTCCGTAGTGTGTGAATGTGTGTGTGGATGTTTCCCAGAGATGGGTTGCGACTGGAAGGGCATATGCTGCGTAAAAACTTGCTGGATAAGTTGGCGGTTCATTCCGCTGTGGCGACCCCGGATTAATAAAGGGACTAAGCCGACAAGAAAATGAACAAATGAATGAATGAATGAATGTTTTGTTGTTATGCAGCATTATTCGTTTCTGCTCATAATTATTTTAAGCCGCTAAAATATTTTATTCATTCATTCATTTTCAGCGTAGTCCCTTTATCAGGGGTCGCCACAGTGAAATGAACTGCCTTAAATATGTTATAATTATTTTTTTAGCGTTTTATACCTTTATTGATAGGACAGAGGAGATTTACAGACAGGAAAGTGTGGGACAAGATATAAGGGGAAGGACAGGCAAAGAATCTTGAGATGGGAATCGAACTCTGGTCGCCATGAGCACCTTGGTGCTATGTGTCAACTTACTAACTACTAGGCTTTTATATATTTCCAATTTGATTTAAATGTGTTACTATTTTTTATTCACTTGTTTTAATCTAATGGGCAGCACGGTAGCTTAATGGTTAGTGCTGACACCTCACAGCAAGAAGGTCGCTGGTTTGAGTCCTGACTGAACCAGGAGGTCTTTCTATATATATATATATATATATATATATATATATATATATGTAATATATAAATTGCACCAGGTCAGTAGTACCAGGATGGGAGACAGCATGGGAAAGCTAGGTTCCTGCTGGAAGTGTTGTTAGTGAGGCCAACAGGGGGCGCTCTCCTTCTGAAAAAAAAGTAGGGGTTTAACCTTGGCATCCTGGCCAAATTTGCCCATTGGCCTCTATTAATCATGGCCTCCTAACCATCCCTATATCACAATTGGTTTCATCTCTGTCTCCTCTCCACCAATCAGCGGGTGTGTGGTCTGGCGCAATATTGCAGCGTCACATTATCCAGGTGGATGCTGCACACTGGTGGTGGATGAGGAGATTCCCCCTTGTGTAAAGCGCTTTGAGTATCTAGAAAAGCACTATATAAATGTGCTAATTTTAATAGGTGAATAGGTTATGGGTGAATGAGAGAGTGTATGAGTGTTTTACAGCACTGGGGGTTCAGGAGTTGTGGCTGGAGGCCATCTGCTGCATACAAAAGCATGGAGTAAGCTACAAGTAAAAGAGTGCTTACTTTTAAATTATTTTAGCACAATTTTATTTACTTTACAATCATTTTTATTTTATAATACCTTTTTTATAACGATTACTTTATTATTTATAATAGTTTGATATATGATTTTTATTATTTAAGCTTTTTAATTTTTTTTTTTTACAAATGTTTGTATTTATTATTTTTATTTTTTTAACATTCTCTTTATTATATATATATATATATATATATATATATATATATATATATATATATATATATATATATATATATATATATATTTATATTTATTTATTTATTTTTTACATCAGTACAAATTATAACTTACATATACGTTTTTTCTTTTAAGCAATAAGTTGTAACATCTTATTAATATTTTATGTATACGAGAACTTTTATGTATACAATATTTTATGTATACAAGTTAACTTTTCTTTTTCTCTAGTAAGAGGCATCCCTAGACCTCCTAGTGCTCTCTTGAGGTCTCCAAGTATCCTCAGACCACATCTCTAAGTTACATCATTTCATTGGTATTTTTGTATACACAAATGAGCAGAGAGACCTGCGGGTATTTTTTATTGTGTCTTGTGACTCAATGAATCATTCACTCATTCTGTTGGTTAAAAACAAACAAGCAGTGACGTTTTTTTCATCTGTTTCATCAGTGTTCATTTGTTCTTCTACATCTATTTGAGCGTATAGGGCAGTTTATTCATCTTTCAACCATCATTCAAGTTTTGATCATTTATCATTATTTTGTCATCTCAATCACAGCAGACAGAAAGTAATTTAGTTTACAGTAGTGTACAGTATTTCTCTTAAAACATAACACCATTCATTTGCTGCCTTTCCAACACTAGCATTTTAGCCAGAAAACCCAACTCTAGTTTAAAGATTTGATAAAAGTTAGTTTTTCTCAGTGGCTGTTGCATTTCTCACAACACTAATTACATCTGCACAACAGTTAATGCATTTCTCAATACAATTAGTGCAAACTGCAAAACTTAGTTGATAACTTGCAAAAGTGCGTCACTTGCTCAAAACGGATAGGTCATTCCTCAAAAGCAAGTATTCATGCTAATAAAAGTGTCGGTGTCAAGATGAAAAGTCCTGACACCATTGTTTATAAACCAGATGTTCAAATGGCTGTCATGTTTTCATCAAGACAGTTTACTCTGGACATTATTTCCAATGCAAAAAAAGTCAGATTTTGGTGACACTTCCAGAAAATGCTCAAGACAGCACTTTATGCTATTTGCACAGCCATTTGAAAACTACAGTAAATTAGACATCACTGCATTTAATGAGGTTTCCGAGTACAAGACACTGAATATGTATGTTTCACATGTTTACTGCATTTGCTCTTTGTAATTCTAATTTATTCACAGCATTGTGCAAAAGAACAAATACACCCTTATTTACAACAAACATTAACTCCCTTTGGGTGAAGCTGTGCACAACTGTAAACAATGTTGCAGTACATATTGGAACTGAACTTACAACATACACAGGTCTGCAAATCATTCATGAAATTGTTCAATTTAGAAGACATTTAGGGAAGAAAACTAGTACAACATTTTTGCATGTAATGACTCAAGAAATGAAATGAGGACTATTAGTTTTATATGGAATTACTATTCAGCTTTCACAAGTTTAGTTAATTTTGACTGACACGACATAAGCAAATGGTAATGTTGTGAAACAACAGAGAGTTGAATGAAAGCAATTGATGCATGTCTAAAAGCATTTGCAATTTGTTGGAAGGAATTAGAAACTGCTACTATGCGCGCAAAGACTAATTGTATTGAGAAATGCCTTAACAGTTGTGCAAATGTAAATAGTGTTGTGAGAAATGCACCAAAGCCGCTGAGAAAAACTGTAATACACAAACCCAGCAAAAATCCAGATCCACAGTTTATCTGCGACGCTTCTAATGGGCGTTCACAACAAGCGAAAAACAACCTTCCCACTGGGGCAAAAGCTGCACTCTGATTGGCTGACGCGCTTGCTCAAAGGACACACCTTTATCCAGCAACGTGTGCGTACACGAGTTTCTGCTCAGCCCCCATTAATGTACACAATCCAGTAGAAAAAACAACAAACAGTTGCAATACAATAAATCACATTAGCGCATATTTTTCACGAAAACGCAACCTTTAAAAGCCACATACAGTACACATCCCCGCCAAACAGCTCATTTTACACAGCGCATTCAATCGAAACGACCGCGGTAGGATTAAAATCACAACAGTTCGTATAAACACCGGCTACGTGATTGTAACAAGAAGAAAATACGCAAGCACGCACGAATATAAAACTAGCCCAGTGTTTGCAGTATTGTCAGTGAAAAACCGGCGCGTTTACTGGATTTACCTCGGTTGTTTTGGTGGAGATGCCGCCGCTCCGCTGCTGCTCTACCGTCAGTCAGTCATCAGTGAGGGGAGGGGGGGACTTTACGTCGCGCTTACGTGCTCTCATATCGCTCAGCTATGCCGAATGACAGCTGCTTACAGCAACATGCCACAGCCGTGTTAATAGAGCTTAACGCGGTGCTACACAAAGAATGATTCGTGTTATTGTGCATGTCACTATTCGTGATATTATACCACTATTCCTGAATCACGCGGGGTTTGTATATTTTATGTGTTTACTGTGGTGGATGATGCTGCTATATGCATGAAAATTACAGTTTGTAACTCTTGTGAATTCAATAATATATTTAATTCTATTTTCCACTTTTATTTTCAATGCAATGTATACATTAGCCTATGCAGAACACATTATAAATATGCATAACATGCAGAACACTATTATTTCATTAACATAGGATAGATAGATAGATAGATAGATAGATAGATAGATAGATAGATAGATAGATAGATAGATAGATAGATAGATAGATAGATAGATAGATAGATAGATAGATAGATAGATAGATAGATAGATAGATAGATAGATAGATAGATAGATAGATAGATAGATAGATAGATAGATAGATAGATAGATAGATAGATAGATAGATAGATAGATAGATAGATAGATAGATAGATAGATAGATAGATAGATAGATAGATAGATAGATAGATAGATAGATAGATAGATAGATAGATAGATAGATAGATAGATAGATAGATAGATAGAGAAGTCAAACTACTTTTATTTTTAATGTAATGTAGATTAACAAGTACAACCAGGGGCGGATTTACTAATATGAGGGCCCTTAGCAATTCCAGATATGGGGCCCTAGCATTGAAACTCAAATCATTCTCTTTCTCTGTAGATTATTGTTATTATTTATTAATTTTGGTAAATAAACTGCATGTTTTAAAAATATTTCAGTGGAATCTTTATCTTCCTAATGTGAAATTAAATGTAATAAATTCACAAATAAAAAAGCAAGTTCGCAAACTAAGCAATTAATTAGCCATATTTGTGATTAGATTTTAATATTTTGAACATGAATACTTTAAAGACTTTAACCTGCTGTATTTTCTTAATGTAAAATGAAATCAAATTTAATCCCCAATCAATCAAACAAATCTTTTCACGATTTTTTCATATGAACTGAACAATTGCTTTTTGTGAATCTGCAATAATCACTGTTCACTGGGAAATTATTTTTTTATTTGAGCAGGCCCTCTCTTAACAAACTCACAGTGCTCATCATCTGACAGGGGTTTGAAAGAGACGGTTGAAAAGAAGCAATAATGTTCAAATTTTAATGGTTATAGACAGATTTTACAACATTTATTTGTTTATTAATTTATAAATGAGCGATCTGATTAATATAGGCTTCCTGGCATTGGTCGGGGTCCCCTAATTCTCCGAGGCCCGAAGCAGCTGCTTACCTCACTTATTGGTTAAGTCAGCACCTGAGTAAAACAAATATTCCACATTATTTTTTATATTTAGAAAGATACACAAACATACATTCATTCATTTTCTTTTCGGCTTAGTCCCTTTATTAATCTGGGGCCGCCACAGCACAATGAACCGCCAACTTATCCAGCATATATTTTACGCAGCAGATGCTCTTCCAGCTGCAACCCATCTCTGGGAAACATCCATACACGCTCATTCACACACAAAAACAACAAACAATTTAGCCTACCCAATTCACCTGTATCGTATGTCTTTGGACTTTGTGGGAAACCGGAGTGCCCGGAGGAAACCCACGCGAACGCAGGGAGAACATGCAAACTCCACACAAAAACATCAACTGACACGGCCGAGGCTCGAGCCAGCGACCTTCTTGCTGTGAGGCATCAGCACTACTTACTGCGCCACCGTGTTGCCCACACAAACAGTCATATAGACAAAATAGATAGATAGATGGATAGATTGATAGATAGATGGATGGATGGATGGATGGATGGATGGATGGATGGATGGATGGATGGATGGATGGATGGACAGACAGGCAGAGAAACAGATAGATAGATAGACAGACAGACAGACAGACAGACGGACGGACGGACAGACAGACAGACAGATAGAGACAGGCAGAGAGACAGATAGACAGACAGACATAGAAAAGATAGGCTGATAGACAGAGACAGATAAATATAGAGACAGACAGACAGACAGACAGACAGACAGGCAGAGAACAGATAGATAGATAGATAGATAGATAGATAGATAGATAGATAGATAGATAGATAGATAGATAGATAGATAGATAGACAGACAGACAGACAGAATGATAGATATATAGACAGACAGTCAGACAGACAAGTAGATAGACTGATTTACAATTAAAATTCTGAATTAAAATGAAATTTTATGTACAAATATCAGCATCTATCTTATATCTGTCCAGATTCAACAAACAACACATGTATGACAACAAAAGAAGTATACAGTGCAGAATGAATGCATAACATTTGTCATGTACAGTGAAAAGTCCAGTTTAGCCAGCGATCTGCAGTTTGCACTGGCGCATCACCTTTCACCTACATTGTTTGCTCCATTTGCTAAATATTCAGCTTTGTCTATTTGCAAACAGAGATTTGGAAGAAACCGCTCATCATGTAATGATGTCTAGGGATTATAAGCTTTCTTCTGTCGGCAGCCGTGGCCGACGGACTTCATCCTCCAAAAGGGGATTTTAGGTCTGGACAGCAAAAGCATGTTGGGTTTCAGTCTCTCAATCCAGTCTGGGTATTGGCTGGAGGCATCATGTCATGTGACTCACGCTGACCTACAATAACCCAGACACGCTTGGCTTCCTTTAAACAGTTTTACATCAAGTCGCGGTGTATTTGGAACAGATATATTTATTATTCCAAATGATTCAGATAAGCATTAAATACATTATTTGTGTATGTCTTTGAGCAAAATGTGAATTTAAAAATATGTAAATTTAAATTAAACTATATTAAAACTAGAAATGTTTGTCTGGAATGGGAGGAAGAGCCTCCCAAACAGTTTCCCTCATATCGAGTTCAGTATCTGCATAACACAGAGGTGTAATGCTCTTCTGGCTCTTGGTTTTCCAGTTGACTGAGGCGTAAACAGCACTGGGCTGTGAGTGGCTCTGGCTGTCAGCTGAAGTGAGAGGCTTGTTTACTGGTCTGCTGAAGGCTGAGATGGAGTGATTATCATCAGGCTTTGTCATTGCTGGGGAAGGGCTCTTATTCTGCTCTTCAGCGTTGTCAGGCTGTAATGGAGGCTCGCTGATGCATTCATAAGGATTTTCCTCATTCAGTTCAGCCTCCAGGATTGGGAGTGTATGATCAGGTCGATCTGTGGCAGATGGCATGCATTCGGCACTCTGCGACAAAGCTATCTGCAAAAAAAGATACATTTGTGAGAATCTAGCTGTCTGTCTGACTGAATATACATCAGTCTGATTATCTGGATGTTTGTCTCTGTCTGTCTGTCTGTCTGTCTATCTATCTATCTATCTGTCTATTTCTCTGCCTGTCTATCTGTCCATCCATCCATCCGTCTGTCTGTCTGTCTGTCTGTCAGTCCATCCATCCATCCATCCATCCATCCATCCATCCATCCATCCATCTATCTATCTATCTATCTATCTATCTGTCTGTCTGTCTGTCTGTCTGTCTGTCTGTCTCTGTCTATAATTTCATATCAAATAATAATTTGTTTATTTTTTTTGATAACTTTTCCTCCATTCCATGACTTATATGTCAGTCTTGAAAAAAACACATTTTTTTTGCATCAGTAGCTTTCTGTGCTCTCCATTACAGTGTCATTTCCTTTAGAAGATGAATCCAGTAACTCTATGGAAATTGCTTGTCCTCTCTTGCTGATTCACTGCAATTTACTACTAAATGATTTTAATTGACCATAATAGGATGGATACGGTTCAGCAGTCTCAAAGCAGGAAAAATAAATTCTTCTTCTCCAAGCAATCTGTCATCAGTAAAGGGCTGCATGACATTGCAATATTTTTTGCAATATGCATTGTGATATGAAATATACAATAGTATCTGGATGCAGCCTTTATGATGCAAGCTGAGATCGCATCACTCAGCGATGCAATGCCAGACACAATGCACCCAATGGAGTGAGTGACATCACTGTGACGGGTAGGGTTAGGGGTGGGGTTAGGTGAGTGCATTAAAAAGCATTGGATGCACCTCAGACTGCACTGCACCAGGTCTGCATTCAGACCCCGCTCGAAATATATACACCAGATGGATTGAGTAACTCTATATAGAATTTATTATTTCAGAATTGTTGGGGAGGATTTCATAGGTGAGTGCATCTTCATTAAAAATTGTCGACTGATTAAAATTAGAAACCATAAACTATATTAAAAACTTACAAACGAAATAAATAGTGCTTTATGTTTCTGGGAAGATTTGATGGCAGTCAGGTATATATATGAAATAAAAATATAGAATATCAATATTTTAATGTAAAATAACAGTTTTCAGTGTTTGCTATGTAAATTACGTTTAATTAATCTTTGTTAAATGTTATTTTTCTTTTGTCTGGATGCTTTAAACTCATTTAATGTTTAACAGTAAATAATGCAAATTCATTCATTCGTTTTCCTTAGGCTTTTTTTGCTAATGTGATTTTGATATAGAAGATCCTGCAATGTGACCATTGAAGATGTGTTCATTGCATTATCAGTGCTGAAACTATTGTTGAAATTATTGCTGACAATGCCTTAACCAGTAGTCATACACGATTCAACATAAGGTTTGTGTACAGTATTTGTTAGGGGTCAAATTAAAAATAAACTTTATTTATTGTATCTACAATTCCTTGAAGAGGCTTTAACATTATAGACACTTGAATAGTGGTTCATTGTGGAAACAAAAATTGTGGATTTGGAGCATTTTTTTATTTTTAAAGGGACAGTTTAAAAAAATCCTCAATTGTTAACTTTTTTTTTCCCTTCAGTATTAAAGAAGATGATGCAATTTATTGGCTTTAAGGACATTGAGTGTCAACAAAAAATACAGTTAAAACAAAATTAATACATATGGCTCTTGACAATACAGTAAAGCAAAATGATAATTATAAATAAAAAGAGTGCAGTCTACAATCATCTTATCTTTAATCCACAGTCCTGCATTTATGACAGTCTAGAACCCAAACCTGTTCAGTTCCTCATTCACAAGATCTCAATGTATCATGAGACATCATGGGTATTCATTTTGTTTAGCCTGAAATTGTTTATTTATTAATTTTACTCTCAAAGTGCTGGAACCCATTGACCTGCAGTTTTATGAATCAACATGGACCACAGATTTAGCTAAAAATCTCATTTAGATTCTCTTGAAACAAGAGTAAATTTTCAGTTTTGACTAAATAACCCATATGTTAGACAAGACTAAAAGTGTATATGTCGTTAACTAGATAAATAATTTCTGCATTATCTAACTCTTGCACCCTAATGAATGTAACATGATTAGTTTTTAAGATAGATAATATTTTGATTTGAACAAAATAAGGTGATTTAAGTAGACACCCATGACATGGGTTCAATTCTGGCACCTCTCCTATTCAACCTGTACATGCTCCTTCTGAGCCAAATAATGAGAAAGAACCAAATCTCCTACCACAGCTAGCTGATTAAACTCAGATCTACATAGCCCTATTGTAAAATGACTACACCCCCATTGGCACCTTCTGCCAATGCATGTATGAAATAAACAGTTGGATGAGCCAAATCTTTCTTAGGTTAAACAAAGAGAAAACTGAAGTCATTGCGTTTGGGAACGGAGATGAGGCTCTCAAGGTCAATGCGTACCTTGGCTCTAAGGGTCAAACAACAAAGTCATGTCAAAGCAGTCAGCAAATCAGCAAATATCATCTTAAAAACTTTACAAGAGACTAATGGCTTTGTTTCCAGTAAAGACTTAGAGAAACTTGTATATGCTTTTATCGTCAGCAGGATGGATTACTGTAATGGACTCCTCACTGGCCTTTGGAAAAAGCTCATCCAGAACGCTGCTGCTCGGATACTGATCAGAACAAGAAAATCAGAGCGCATCACACTTGTCCTCAGGTCTTTAAACTGGCTCTCAGTTACATTCAGAATAGGTTTGAAAGTATTACTACTAGTTTATAAATCACTGAATGGTCTAGGACCTCAATATATTACAGATATGCTCACTAAATACAAACCTAACAGGTCACTCAGATCATTAGGATCAAGTAAATTAGAAATTTTAAGAGTTCAGTCGATGCAGGGTGAATCTGCCTTCAGCAACTACGCCCCTGCTGCTGGAGTCAACTTCCAGAAATGATCAGATGTGCTCCAACATTAGTCACGTTCAAATCAAGACTGAAAACCCATCTGTTTAGCTGTGCCTTTACTGAATGAGCACTGTGCAACGTGTGACAGATCACACTATTATGTCTTTCTTCTCTTTTTCATTCTTTTATAACCTGTTTTAACAGATTTTAATCTGTTTTTAATTATTTTTATTTTCTTGTTTCTTCTATTCTTGCTCATGTAAAGCACTTTAAATTCCCATTGTGTGTGAAATGTGCTTTATAAATAAACTTGCCTTGCCTGAGAAAAATCACATTATTTACAAATCATTGTACAGTGCACTTCAATACTGAATGATACTCCATCGTATCAAGAGCCAGTATAATACTGATATATCTAAATTTAAGCATTAATGGTGTCTAATGTCAGCCTCTTACGTTTTGAGGAACTGCAGATGGGATATTTGTACTTTCTCTCCTTTCCAAATGCCTGGAGGGTGCACTATCGGACAAACTGAAAAACATAAAAAAAAAATTTCACTATTTCACATGTCCCATTTGTTTACATAGTTTTGCATGTTGTGATGTTATCAGTCCATATAATTTTTCCCTGATTTACATTGACAGAAAGTGTGCTGGAGTCGACAAACAGGTCTCTGCTTTTACTACATTAACACAAACATTAATGTTACTCATTGTGTGTGACATGACATCTGAACCTGCCATTGCACATTCCACCCATTTACTCACAGCATTCCGTCTCAATCACTCCCTTCTCCTGGGTGTGTGTTTCAGATCAGCACAAGATGTGATAACGAATAATACACCTGTAAATATATGAGAGAGAGAAAAAATAAAAAGCCTTACTTGTAACAGCTTGCACAAAGGCTGTGGAGTGTGACATAAATGATGATGAAGAGAGCTGACACAATGCTGATCTGAAGGGAGGAAGAAAAGCTTGATAACCAGGTGATCAGACCCTCCTCCGCTGGAGCCATCGCTCTTCATCCAGAGTCTGTATTAATGAAAAGACAAGAACTGAAGAAGCTAAAAGTTTATATTATATAAAAATATTGAGTTGGATGAAAGGAAAGCAAATATAACTTCTTGTGCTTCTCAGAAACACGACGATTACACAGGTGAGTACTTGTACAAGTCACACCTCTATTTCATGTTAACATAAACAGTCAAGAGATACTTCAATTTCACGTATAACCATTTTAAAAATGCTATCAGTGTAATAATTTTTTTAGATTATAACAATAAACTGTTAAAATACTGATGAATTAATTACACTCTAAAAAATGCTGGGTCAAACATGGACAATTATGTTCAAAAGTGTCACTTAACTTTAGTTGATAAAATGAATCCAACATTGGGTTTGATCAGATTTGTCCCATTGTTGCTTGGGTTAAAAAAGCCCAGCAATTTTTGCGTGTACACAAAACTTTAAAATAAATATAAAAATTAATCATTAAAGTCACTAGCACATTTTTTTTAGGAATTAAAGAGTCTATAAACAATTAAAACAATAATAATATTAATAAAAGAGAATATATCCTTACCTTTGATCTCAGATAGAGGATCCAAGTTAATTTGTCATCATCTTGTCTTTACCGCAACACACTGATCCTACATGGATTTGACAAGTCACACTTCCTCATACTGGATTCCAGCCTTTCCAGTGCCTGATCCATGTCTCCATATAAATCCCTCAATACAATTCACTTCATTTGCATTTAACTTCTAGTTCTAGTTTTTCTTTGCATACTGTAGAATTAGGGGGAACTTGTTGAGCATGAGATTTAAAAATAATGATAGTGAAAAAAATAAATATACTTCAGTTTTGAACGGAATGCTGCTGCCCACTAATGGACAAAAAAGGCGTAACTGGCTGAAGTTTAACTGAAGTGTTTGGTCTTCCTGCAAATACTACTGGGTTATTTCACACGACGAAGCTTTAATAACTAAGAAAATACTACAAACTTGTTTGTCATCAAATACAATCAAAACTCACCAAAGATTTGTTGGAATACATTGATCGTAATGTTAACATTTATTGAAATACAAATCAGTCAAAGCAGAAACGTGCAAAGGCACATTTGTGTTAATGGTTAGTTCACCCCAAATTGAATTGAATTAACATTTTAATTGTTCCCCACTGAGGTAGAAATGATTTATAAGGCGAAATAAATGCAGTCTTACATAGAAAGGGGACAGAATACATTTCAGTACTTGTGAATTAGTAGAGACTATAGACTCAATGTGGCTGGCCCATTGCTTGTTACCCATTGTATCCTGCTTGTTACCCAACTTTTTCATAACTGAAACAAGAGGCACTTTTATTTATATTAATGTTAAAATGGCTGCCATAACATAATTTATCAATATGTGAACTGTTTTAGATTCTTAATGTAAACCCGTCGGTCCCACACCACCCAACGCTCTCTAAGCTGGGATCGAACTGGCGACCTTCTGCATGAAAGTCAGTTCCTCTAACAAGGAAGCTAAAGACAATGGTCTCTAGCATTTGTCGCTAGAGCACTTTTAGAGATCAGAGAAGCTGCACAGCACAAAATGTAATACAGGAAACACATTATGACTGATGTAAATTGTTTACATCCATCAAAATGGTCCATAAAAAGTTCTAAAATACGTGCTAATATTGAGATAATCAGCAATATTTTATGCCACAATGTTTTATAGGGATATGGAATGCCAGATTTCCATTGTTCCATGTTTGGATAGATGTTTTTTTCTATTAGTTCTGTGTGAATGTTCTTGAGCAAACAAGAGTCTATTCGTTCCTGAACCACAACAACACTGCCCCGACTACGCTGTGTGCAAATAAAAGTAGCCTCTTTGTTCCTCTGCCCCTCCAACTCTCCCTCTTTCTAATTTGGGCCAAATCCAGCTCTGCTCCTTCATTTGAATGTTTTTTTTGCCTTATGCTGCACTCTCAAAACTGTTTTCAAGTAAATAGGCCAGTTATGCAAAGACATACAGTACTGGATCTCAGAGGAATGTCGGCTAAGTGGTAGATTATCCTCAGCAGCGAATTCATTTGTGGGAAAAACCCACTTAGTATTTGTGTTCAGGACCATTAGTAAACGTATTTGATAGTCAAAAAGTAAGATGCTTTTCTGAGGCTGATGTCTTTCACTTTTACCCTTTTAAAAGACACAACTAAGAGTTATTACTAGGACCTTAAACTAACCATGAAATCAGAATAGACTATGACTATTTTCTTAGTTTATAATGGTCAGCTGACATTAAATGACTTTCTGGAAGAAATGCTATATCTGCCTCCAGACTCTTTAAATGGGTAAGTACCTTAGTGAAATAATAATAATAATAATAATAATAATAATAATAATAATAATAATACATTTTATTTGTTATGTGTTTTTCTCAAGCTCAAAGCGCTACAAGGCAAAAAACAATAAATAACAGTATAACAATAAGTAAGATAACAATAGATCACGCATTAAAACACTACTAAAAAGGTGAGTCTTAAGAAGCTTCTTAAAACAGTCCAGTGACAAGGCATTCCTGTAGCGTGGCTGGAACAGAGTAAGACCCGAAACACGAAGACAGTGAGCAGGAGTAGAAAGTGTCAAAAGATCACAGATGTAATCAGGAGCTAGCCAATGGACTGCTTTATAAGTTAAAATCAGAGTCTTAAAACCACTATGTGACCTAACCGATAGCCAATGAAGTTGCTGGAGAACAGGTATATACTGTATGGTTAACCCCTTTCACATTCCAGTACACTAAGTTATAAAAATGTAAATTAGTATTTTCCTTCTTATTGTGAAAAAAGTAAATAAACCGAAAAAAATGCTGAATGAGAAGCTTGATTTTGTTCATAATGAATTGATTGCAATGTCAGAGTATTGTGGTTTGTTATTGGTTAATCAAGTTGTCCCACCCTCGTGCCAGTGTACATGAGATGAAGTTATTTGACTAAAGGCACATTAATTAAAACACAGTTTGTATGGATAAGTAATTTACAATAGTGCAATACCGCGTTATTGTCCTCGTCACAGAATAGTCTTGGTTTACATCTGGTATCAATATGCAATCTGGTCAACCAGATCACAAGCAAATGCACAATATAAATGGACATTACTTACAAGTGTACAAGGGAGACACATTCTCATTTACACCTGGAGATTTAATGCATTTTTGTGATCACTTTGCTGATTTGTTGAGGGGAGGGTGATTATGGTCAAATTTACGGGCACGTTTAAATCCCATCTTGCTATCCTGTTTCAACAACACATCCGGTAATGTTTAATAGGGCTGCATGATATTGGAAAAATCTAGCATTGTGGTATTTGTTTACTTTGCGATATATATTGCAATATGAATACAATTTCACCAGATGACTCAATATCTCTGGAAATCAGTTCGGATGATTATGCATCTCCATAAAATCTAATAAACAATCTATTAATTTCCTGTGCTATTTGCAGTGCATTTCCATATATGCATGTGTTGTGAGTATTTTCATGCATGTGGTTAGGATGAATTGATGTTTACTAGCATCTCCATAAAATCTAATAAACGATATATAAATGTTTTGGGGTCCCCTGACACATTTTCATTGTGGTCTGTGCTATTTTAAGTGCATTTCCGTATATGCATGTGTTGTGAGTATTTTCATGCATGTGTTTAGGATGAATTGATGTTTACTAGCATCTTCATTAAATCTAATAAACAATATATAAACGTTTTGGGGTCCCCGACACATTTTTATTGTGGTCTGTGCTATTTGCAGTGCATTTCTGTATTTGTATGTGTTGTGTTGTCATGCATACCAACCAATCTATAAACACAATCAAGAAAAAGATAGAACAAAAATAATTTATCATTTCCCAAATCTAAAGTATACAAGTACAGTAGTGAATGTTAAAATTAAAAATAATTCAATAAACTTATTCGTAGTTTAGGCCACAAATGGTACAATTTCATATGCCTGACTGCTTTTAAAATCATTATACAGTTCCAGGCATCTAAAACACATGCAAATGATAAATAATAACAAACTCAACTTTGCAAATCCTCTGATGTGTCTATTGCGGATTATCACATTGCGATATTGATGCTGAAATGATATATTGTACACCTAATGTTTAAAAATGAGGTCAGCAAGTGGAGAGTAGATGTCTTTTGTGGCTTTTCCAATGCATTTGACTCCATGAGCATCAACACTATGAGTTTTGACTAGCTCTGGATGTGTATTTTAATCCCATTTGGCACCATTTTCTTGTAATTAGATCCACAAACAAAATGTGTAAACAGTGTCTGAATGGTACATATAAATAACTTTTAATATGCAACAACTTTTGTGCTATTTTTCAGGAGCAGGTGTGGGATTTCAACATGACACTTGGACTTTTAAGATTTAAAATAAAAGCAAAGACATCCCATCACAATTCTCATAATGAATGCACTTCTATAAAAACAATTCAAAATGGATATCAATAAATACCTTTTGGTACTTCATAACTAACCTAATCTTCAGACATGTTTGTTCAGTCTTTTTTCCTCAGCTGTCTTTGCACGGCTCCCCTCATCAGAACTGCAGTCAGAATGCTGCACAACACCAACAAGAAGAAGGATCCTCCGGCCAGTAAGATGAAGTGCTCTCCGTGCGCATCTACGACAGACTGCTGATGTACTAGGAAGTCTCTAAACATTGCCTCCAGCTGGCACATGGTGCACAAGACCAGGAAGATGTGGAAGATCTGATGTCCGTGGCCTACAATATCACACCTTCCTGGAAAGAAGCGCTCAGGAACAGGGCACGAGAAAAACAGAGCTGCCAAAAGGAAAAACGCCACTTGCATAGCGTGAAACACCAACACCGGCTCATCCCAAGATTTGGTGAGCAGGCGGTGCGCTACAGGGCTTATGTCAAGCAAGTATGCCAAGCTGGTGGGAATGATCTGGCAGATCTTCCGGTGAAATGGGTAAGGACGGCGGTAACGGAATTTGGAGTAGCAGCAACTGGCACAGGACAACCAGGCCAGCATGGCAGCACCAGGAAGAAACAATACACCAACTAGACTGTGTCTCCATTCTGGCTCAGAACAGTAAAAATAGTGGCCCATTGAGCAGCCATATTGGTAAACAGCCACACCAACGTAGTCTACAAAGAAGAGGGAGTAATGGGCCAGTTCAGAGTGAGACTGCAGCAAGTGGGCGGCCACACTGAAACTGAGGTAGGTAAGTGATGACAGCACATACAAGAACAGAGGCAGAGAGGCCAGATTGAGCGTCAGCCCCCACGCCCCTGCGAAAAAAGAGAACTGCAGTAGCACGGCAGGGATGGCCAGCAGGTGTGTCCACACATTCAGCAGCTCGTTGTGACATTGGAAGAGGCTACAGAAGTAGCTCCGCCATTCCTGATGCACTGGACGATAACCAGACAAGATGTAGGGCTCACGAAACAGGCTCGGCACTTCAGAAGCGTGTACTGTGGCTTGACGTCTAGGCAGACGAGGCAACCAGTTCGACAAGTGTGGTAACTGACCCAGCTGCTGCAGACTTAAAGTCAGTGTACTCAAACGACCCAAAACTCCACTTGACATGTTGAAACTCTGGTGAGATGGAAAAAAAAAGAGCTGTAAGAAGGAGAAAACAGCACATGGGTAGATCATATTGACAAATCAGTATGTCGTGATTCATACCTCTGCCTGACAAAGAGCCAGTTCTTGCTGAACTAAACCTCTTAGACTTGATAAGTTAATAACTGGCCTGGTTCAGCTGACCATTGTGTTTACCAAGCGCTCACAATATGCTCTGCTGTATATTGCTCCAAGACCTCTTAGTTTTATGTTTGTTTGTTTTTTTGGAGCACTTTCTGTCTCTTGAAAGTTTGGCATGTATTCCTAGAAAGCATTGCAAGAATACATAGTCTTTGATTCGCTTATTATTGTTGTCTGGAGCATGGAGCTCACTTTGACACACTAGTTATCGATAATGTGTGCATTAGGATTAGGGTTTTGTTTTAAAATATACCCCTAAACACTTTTAGCCTACTTGCCTATTTAAGGCAAAAGCATGAATTAACACGTTCAGTCAAACAAATAATAAACAAAACAATGTATCCTAATAAACAAATGTGCCTTAAGCTGTAAAATGAAACATTTATGTGACATTTTGCACACCAATGAAATACAAAACATCAGAAACTGTGTATGTAACAATAAAAGAGAAAAACAAGAATCGTTCCTATCGTTTTTATACACATTAGTATTATTTCTTACCTATGCAGAAAGTAGCTCTTCGTTCTTCTCAGTTACTTTTTAAAAGTTATAAGTGGTTTCATATCATCTGAAGGATTAAGTCTAGTTTTCAATCTTGAGCATTTTAACCTTGGTAACAGCGCTGAGCATGCCAGAGTTTCTACCGAGGGACCTGTTGTGCAGGCTCGTCAATCCGGGCGGGGTTTCAAATGACTCAGTTCAGATTCAAAACTCAGTTCAGTTCAGACAACAGACTCAGTTCAGACAACGAGCGAAAATCTAAAAAAGGTATATGACATATAAAAGGCACCACAGTAAAACATGTTTACATAATTATAAGATAATACCATTATATATCCAAATACTTATTTTTATTACAGTTTTTTTCAGTCTTTTGTGCATTTCTCACAACACTTTGCACTGCACCGAGTCTGCAGCAAAACAAAACCCCTCTCATTAGCCCCTCTAAAAATGAAAAATGCTTTTGGACATGCATCAATTGCTTTCATACAACTTTCTGCTGTTTTATAACATTATCGTTTGCTTATGTCATGTCAGTCAAAATTAACTAAACTTGTGAATGCTGCTGAATAGTCATTCCATATAAAATTAACAGTCCTCATTTCATAACTTGAGTCATTACATACAAAAATGTTGAACTAGTGGTCAACATTTTTCAAATTTAAATTTTATAAACAATTATATATACATATACATATATACATATATATATATATATATATATATATATATATATATATATATATATATATATATATATATATATATATATATATACACATTTTTTTTTTCTGATAATGTCTTCTAAATTGAACAATTTCATGAACGATTTACAGACCTGTATGTTGTAGGTTCAGTTGCAATATGTACTGTAATTTTATTGACAGTTGTTCACATCTCCAAAGGGAGTTTGTTTGTTGTAAATAAGGGTGTATTTATTATTTCTAACAATGCTGTGAATAAATTAGAATTACAAAGAGCAAATGCAGTAAAAATGTGAAACATACATATTCAGTGTCTTGTACTTGGATACCTCACTAAATGCAATGATTTCGAAATTTACAGTAGTTTTTTTTACAAGAGTAAACTGTCATAATTAAAACATGACAAAGCCATCTTGTTCATAAATAATGGTGTCAGGACTTTTCATTTTGATGACACTCACACTTTCATTGATATGAATAGAATACTTGCTTTTGAGGAATGACCTTTACGTTTTGAGCAAGTGACACGCTTTTGCAGGTTATCAACTAGATCTTGCAGTTTGCACTAATTGTTTTGAGAAATGCATTAACTGTTGTGCAAATGTAAATAATGTTGTGAAAAATGCACCAAAGCCACTGAGAAAAACTAGTTGAGAGAGAGAGAGATCAACCACGAGATGGCGGTAAAGCAGATACATCTACTCTTTGTACAATACAATTACTTGTTCTTAAACGCAGAAATATCGACATGATCAGGAAATGTATTCAATAAAAGTGCTGAAAAGGTAAAGAAAACATTTTGTTAGGCTTACAATTTTTCAGTCATCACTATCATTACATTTTCTTTATTCAGTGAAAGCGAATGGTGACTGAAGCTATCATTACGTTTTAAACCATTATGGAGATAGGACAAGTTCTTCACCTGCAGTCAAACATCCATATTCTGCAATAGGCCCGTATTTTAATTGTGAATGAATAAGCCCTATATTGGTCATAAGCGATAAAAAGAAATCAAGCCTATCTTGTACTTTAATTATATTCAGTATCATTAATTGTAGCATATAAAGTTTGTTTTCTCATTCTGTCTATCATAGGGAAGTAGAATTCTTGATTTGAGAATTAATAAACGAATTTACAGGCAAAGGACAAAAAAATGTCTGCATCCATTAGCTCTCAGATCTGCTGCATCTCTGGCTGTGCGCGCATGCGCAAAACCGCCTCACTTTTCGCGGGAAATACTCGAGTGGGTTGGGAAAAATCTTCCTTCCGAGGATTTGATTGGACGCCGCAACCCAAGAGGCAGAATATGTTACTGAGTCACTGGTGTGTTGGCCAATCAGTGCTCAGATTCCACTGCGAGAGAAGTCTGGTGGCGCGAAAAGGCACACAACAGTGCTGCGACAGACACGAGGTGTTCTGCACTGAACTTTTCTCCATACTTTTAAAAGATCTGTAGCAAAAATGGCTGCTGAAGTTGTGGACGATCAGGAAATGAGGGAGGCTCAGAGGGATTACTTGGATTTTCTTGACGACGACGTAAGCATAAATACGTTATTACATGTTTATTAGAGGTTGAATTGTTGTAGTTAAGGTGCCTTATAGGAACAAAGGCCCACACCCACGTAACATTTTTCGTAGAACTTTTAAAGCATATTTTGTCTGTTTACAACTTTATTCTTGCGTTTTTACTATTTTCCAGCAAGACCAGGGCATCTACCAGAGCAAAGTACGGCAGATGATCAGCGAAAACAAATCCAGGCTCATTGTAAACCTCAACGACCTGCGACGACGAAATGAAAAGCGAGCAGCAAAGTATGTCTAGTTTGTTCCCCTTCACTACTACACCATGTGCACATGTATGATCAGGTCATGCTATTATAATTTGCAAGTATATTTCCACGCGTAATAACATCATAACTACAGGCATTTTATATTGTACCGAAATTGAAGGGATAGTTCACCCATAAAATGAACATGTACTGATGTACTCTCTCTCAAGGGGTTCCAAACGGTTTTTGGTTTACTTTTTCTGGCAAACAAAAGGAGATATTTAGAAAAATGTTTGAAACCTATGATCCTTTACTCGTAGGAAAACAATAAATACCATGTAAGTCAATTACATGTTTTCACAATTTTATAAATAACTTGATTTATGTTCAACAGAAGAAAAGAAACTTAAACAGGTTTGAGACAATAAAGGGTGAGTAAATGATGATGAAAATTTCAGTTTTTGGTGAGCTATCCCTTAGTTAGTTGATCTCACAATTAAATTGTCACCATTATGTTGTTTTAGATGCAAAAGATGAGATACTGAGATACTGGTTTGAAAGTATATTAACATAAAACTTGTCATAAAGATAGTAAATAAAACAGTCCACATGAATTAAGCCGTTTAATTCAAGTATTCTAAAAACACAATTGTTTTTTTTTTCAAGGAACAAATTTGAACAATTTAACTATCTTACCATAAACAGAAGCAACCTTGCTTGATTAACACTGGAAAGCGTTGGTTCTTGTGGAAGCCACAATGTGTCATGTGACATGTACGAATGAACCCTACTGGTCCTTATACATCAAGCATGCTTGAGCGTCTGTGACCAAATCTCAACAGGACAGAAATCAAATCAAAGTCCAAATTTAAACCAGTTGGAGACAAAGTATTCAATATGTAAATGTAAAACGCGTCCCTATGCAATAGAAGTCTATCTATATCCCCGGCCCTTCTCGGAACCTTCACTTGTTCAATGCCAGCATATCGTAAAATCGAATAGTTATGTTTCAGTGCATTAAAATGAACAGAACTAGGACTTCATTGATAATTTAATGGTAAATTCTGTGTTCAGAAATTCGTGGTTTAGCTTACATCGGTGAAACAACACATTGTTTTTCCTGATTATTATTATTTTGTTAACTGGCTTGTTGGTTGATTGGTGTGGTTTTTGTGTTCTTGGTGTGAGGTGTAAAGCTTGACTATTTGTTATTTAAGACTTTAACATTATTAAGTGTGACCGTGTTTTCATTGACACAAGCATTCTCTTTCCCTCAGGCTGTTGAATAACGCTTTTGAAGAGCTCCTGGCATTCCAGCGAGCCCTGAAAGATCTGGTGGCTTCAATAGATGCCACTTACGCCAAGCAATGTGAGGAGTTCTTCATTGGTTTGGAGGGCAGCTTTGGCAGCAAACATGTCTCCCCTCGAACCCTGACCTCTCGCCTGCTGGGCAGCATGGTGTGTTTGGAGGGCATCGTCACTAAATGTACGTCCAGCATTATTTATAGGACTTTTATTGATGTGGTATGTTGGATGCTATGGATGGTAAACTGATTCTTTCTTATTGAAACAACAGGCTCTTTGGTGCGTCCCAAAGTAGTACGCAGTGTGCACTACTGTCCAGCCACTAAAAAGACCATGGAGCGCAAATACACCGATTTGACTTCTCTGGATGCCTTCCCTTCAAGTGCCATTTACCCCACCAAGGTATAGAATTTGTCACAGTTGATCACATTGATTAGTGAAATCATGCAAACATATTTAGGACTAAGGCCATATATAGGCTGCTATATACCATTTCAATTTGTTTGGGTAAATAATATTACTATTATTAGAATGAGTTAATGATTAATGATAATAATAATAATTCCTTCCATTTATATAGCGCTTTTCTGGGCACTCAAAGCGCTTTACACAATGGGGGGGGGATCTCCTCATCTACCACCAGTGTGCAGCATCCACCTGGATTTTGCGCCAGACTGCACACCACACACCAGCTGATTGGTGGAGAGGAGACAGTGATGCAGCCAATTGAATATGGGGATGGTTAGGAGGCCATGATGGACAAAGGCCAGTGGGCAGATTTGGCCAGGATGCCGGGGTTAAACCCCTACTCTTTTTCGAAGGACATCCTGGGATTTTTAACGACCAGAGAGTCGGGACCTCGGTTTAACGTCTCATCCGAAAGACGGCGCTCACTGAGCAGAATAGCGTCCACGTCACTATACTGGGGCATTAGGACCCACACAGACTGCAGGTTGGGCGCCCCCTGCTGGCTTCACTAACACCACTTCCGGCAGCAACCTAGCTTTCCCATGTGGTCTCCCATCCAGGTACTGACCGGGCGCAGCCCTGCTTAGCTTCAGTGGGCGACCATGTGAGAGTTGCAGAGAGCTAGCTGCCGGCATGATGATAGTTTTTTTTTTTTACCACTGTTATTGAAGTAGTCTTTTAAATATCACTCTAATTTCACAGTATAAATGTAGAAACTATTTTATTAGTGCATTTCTAATATTTTTATCAGAATTTTTGGATTTTGCACCCTCTTAACAGCTGTTATGAGCTCCTGTTTGATAATCCCTGATAATGATGGTTCAAAAATAGTTTAAAAGTATTGAAAGTCCTCTCTGCATTTGATCCATTCAGGATGAAGAGAACAATCCATTGGAGACAGAGTTTGGTCTGTCTGTCTATAAGGACCACCAAACCATCACTATACAGGAGATGCCGGAGAAGGCCCCTGCTGGTCAGCTGCCCCGCTCTGTGGACATCATCCTGGACAATGACCTGGTGGACGCCGTGAAGCCTGGAGACCGAACACAGGTGATCGGCACCTACCGCTGCCTGCCGGGCAAGAAGGGTGGCTTCACCTCGGGCACCTTCAGGTACAGCTGCTTCATAATGTCATCATCGTAAAACCTACAGGTGTAATGGTTTACTGAAGTCACGGTTCAGTACGTACCTCAGAATTGGGGTCACAGTTGGATACGGTTATGGTACAAAAGGAATAATAACAAATCCCCAGTGCTTGCTTTTCCTCTTTATTTTAAACAGGCTATGTCACAATCAGCTACCGAACTGAAAAGCTACCAGAAGTACAAAATAAATAGAAATATGAATTATTAAACTTTATAATTAAGAATTTTAAACTTTTAAAAGTTCAGCCCGACCATTTAATAACAACAAAAGCACAGTAAGTGTGCAGAGATTCAGTAAGCTTCAATCTCTGAAAATGCTAGCACTGACTGGAGGTCCGTTCATAACAGTGGGTGCAGCGGACAACAACTGTTCAATCTTGTTTGTGTGAAGAGACAGGACTTGGACGTAAGTGACCATTCACGTCTTCTGCAGCACCTAGCACACAAAAAGCACCAGGTTTGTTAGTCAGTGTGTCAAGATAAGTGTCAAAACCTTCAGAGCAGCGTTCATTAATGTTAGTTACACAGCAGTGAGCCTGTCAGATGAACTCGGAAGATGGGAAAAGCATCAAGACTGTCTGTTTACAAGTCCCAAGTTGACATGACAACGACAAAATGGCAGAACCACTTATGAGAGCTGCATCTTGCATTTTCAGGCATGAAGTTGTTGCACTGCTGTGGTCTTTTCTCTTGTTAAAACAGTGTTCTGGAATTCTTATTCGAAATGTATTGATATTCATAGTATAATTTGTCCCTTGTGTGTTTCTTCAGGACCATCATGATTGCCTGCCATGTCAAACAGATGAGCAAAGAAATTTCCCACTACTTCTCTGCGGATGATGTGGCCAAAATCAAGAGCTTCTGCAGGTCTCGCTCTAAGGTGAGCCGATGGAAATCAACATACAGTCTGGTTAAAATTATTGGCACCTTTGTTAAATATGAGTAACAAAAATTTTAATAAATTTGAAAAATAATGTATCTTTTTTCTTTAATTTAAAAAATCTTTTTATCTTTCTTAAAGATGAAAATATATACACTTCGGATATGTTTGACTCATAGGAATATTTTTGGGGTGCCTTTAAATTTGGCTACTGAATATTCGCAAAACCTACTTTTAATGAGACCGCCCTCCCATTTTAATTGATTAATTTCCATGAAAGTTTAGGTTTTTTAATGAAACAAAAAAATCAACAGAGCAGATTTATTACAAATATTCTTTGCTTAAATTTACCAAGTGTGCCAATAATTTCGAACATGACTACTATTTTTATAAGTTTCAGTTGAGTTTAACTGGTTAAATATAAACAGATATCCATATTAGAGTTGGGTCGATAGACAATGCCATCATCCATCACCGATGGCCTATAGACATCACAATGCTGAGACTACAATGCGTTCGCCGTCTCGCCCCTGTCGCAGCAGCAAACCACTCACGAACGGTCCTGTTTACATTAATACAGCTTAGTTTTAAAATGGCATTTTAGAACGAAACGATCCACGGCCACACTGCCGTTTTATCTAGCATTTCTGAAGAGCCCTGCTTTCACACTATACCGCTAAAAACACACATCACGTGACCACATACACACAGGAACTCTGTCATGCTGCAGCGTAGACGCACGTCTGAGCTCCAGCAGTAAGCGGGTGCTTTGAGCAAAACCAGAGTTTTTATCAAGCATGTATCGCTGGGTTGCATCTCACTATAGTTATTAAAACGTGATATTTATTTAATCTTATCACTAATTAACGATACTTAGGTCTTTTGAGTCTATCAGGTAACTTGTCACAGCGTCAGTACACAGCTTCAATCTATCACTTTCATGCTTATACTTAGTAATTTTAACGAAAACCTGAGATACTGTTGATTGTGCACCTTTTTTACCAACCAAGTTTGTCAACGCCATTATAACACATCACTCTGCCTATTCATGCCAGAGGCCTGTGGAAAAAGTGATTGCGTGTGGTAATTTGTGTGTAACTTATCTATCTTTATTCATGATTTGCTTATGGGTAAAACAAAGACTATGCGGGTCAGGTAGTTGAAACGGTAGGCTACAAATTAGTTCGTTATGAGTTAATTAATTATTCATAAATAATTAATTCACTGCAGATGATGCCATCGTCCATCACGATGTTTCACTTTCGACATCGCCCAACCCTAATACAAATGCACACGCACTTGCAAACATTTTTGTGCATATATTCAGTGCATTACAGATTTGCACATGTAACAGTTTTGTGATCTTGTTTGTGTGTGTTTCTCTAATGTGAATGCTGTATTTGTCTGTTTTCCTGCAGAATGTGTTTGATCAGTTGGCTCGCTCTCTGGCCCCCAGTATTCACGGTCATGAGTACATAAAGAAGGCCATCCTGTGCATGCTTCTAGGAGGAGTGGAGAAGGTGCTGGAGAACGGTTCGCGTATTCGAGGAGACATTAACGTGCTTCTCATAGGTAATTACCTACGTTTTAATTGCACAAACAATGTTGCACAATATTGAGACACACTTAGGGTGAAATGACTGGTTGTGAACATGGTGATAGCTTTTTTGTAATTATAAGTTGTAAGTAGGGCCAAATTAAGTATCATTTATTTTGGAATTTTCTGTATTGGGTAAAGATTTAAAGATTACGGTATATTAAACAACGTGACAAATATAAAGCTGTATAAACTAAGTTTGATGTTTGTAAGATTATAAAATGAACTTTTTCCCTGAATAACAACAGTAAATCTTGTTTTATTTTTATTACTAAAAGATATATTTTTAATTTTAATATTATATTTAATAATATTGTTAAGACAATATCATAAGCAGTAGTGTTAAATTACATTTTATTCCCTGATTTTTAATTGTTTTGTTCTGAATTATTACAATAGTGGAGTTAATGTATTGCATTAGAGTTTTGTCTCTTTGCTAACATCTGATTGTAGATATCCATTTTGATACCAGGCGAACCAGATAAACCAGCTTAGTAAAAGTAGTTCCGTACTGCTGTTATTCTTTGACCCACCAGATGGCGCCATTTATCAGTTTCCTGTATTATAAATATGACAACATGTCATGACGAACAGAGCTCATTCATTCACGACTTAGTCCCTTTATTAATTCTGGTCTCCACAGCGGAATGAAATGAATACAACTATTGGAATATTTCTTAATCTTCAGATATGGAGGGAATAAATATATACAAAAATGTATTAGTGGAAGATCATTATTGAGAGTAGTATACTCTAATAGTAGTTTAAAGGTGCCATGAAATTAAATTTAAGTTTTATAGATGTTAATTTGTCTGTTTTAATCTATAAGCGAGTGTGCTCCAAAACAGTGACAAAATTTGTGTTTAGAAGATATAAACTGATATAAACATACAAAACTTGCAGTTTGTAACCTCCGCCTAAATGGATCAACACATTTTTACGTTACAACATCAGTATCTCATCTAATCTTGACCAATCAAAGGCTTTCTAGTATCTGACGTGCCTCATCCTCTTTAAAACCATTGACATTTGCTTTTTGTTTGATGCATTTGAGCTCAAGCATTTTCACTAGCAGAGCTGTGATGAAAACAATATTGATTGGCAGTTTTTTTTAGGGTGGGGGGAGCTACTCTATGTCCCACCCTCTATTCATTTTTCAGTTGAGATTATGTCAAACATTGAATAAAAAAATCCTTTAGATCAATTTAACGGAAATACTAAATATCTGTTCTTCTCAGGTGACCCATCAGTGGCCAAGTCTCAGTTGCTCCGGTACGTTCTTCACACTGCTCCTCGGGCCATTCCCACAACAGGCCGTGGTTCATCAGGTGTGGGTCTGACCGCAGCCGTCACCACTGACCAGGAGACAGGTACTGCCGCTCATACACTAACACACACAGTAAAATCAGCTTTGTGGACTCTGCGTCAGTGTTAAAGCTGCGTCTGTCTGTCTCCCAGGCGAGCGGCGTCTGGAAGCTGGGGCCATGGTTTTGGGGGATCGAGGCGTTGTCTGCATTGACGAGTTCGACAAAATGTCAGATATGGATCGCACTGCTATACATGAAGTCATGGAGCAGGGCCGAGTCACCATCGCTAAAGCTGGCATCCACGCTAGACTTAATGCCCGCTGCAGCGTCCTGGCAGCTGCCAACCCCGTCTACGGCAGAGTGAGTTCTGTGTTAATAAAATAATTATTAGGGCTGCACAATATATTGTTTCAGCATCGATATCGCAATGTGTGTGTCTGTAATAGTCACATCGCAGGATGTTCAATGTTGAGTTGGGATTATAGTTGATCAGCACAACATATGTGACATTTGTGTAGTCTTTGCTTTATATAACCATACCAGAGTGAAGTTTGATTATTTGCTTGCGTTTTAAAAGCATTCCAAAAGAGTTTAAAGAAATTGGGCACAAAAAATGTATCTGTAACTTTAATGAAGAATAATTTTACTGAATTAATACAATGAAGACTATATAGAGGTATTTTACATACTAAATTAAACTGCTTAATAGAAAACGAACAAACATCTTCAGCGTCTGCGCGGCATATCTAGACTACGCTTCTTTTCAAAAATGTGGGAAAAACTTACGCGAGTGGTGGTTGTGTACTGGAACATGACAATTTAACATACATCTCGGGTGGTGGTTAGAGCAATGATCTGAATTATAGTTGTTTTAAATAGCAGTTCAACATTGCTAGTCTTTTCTGTACAGGTGATGTTTCTGAATCTGTGTGTGTGTTTTGATGACGTGTCTGTGTTGGTCTGCAGTATGATCAGTATAAGACACCCATGGAGAACATCGGTCTGCAGGACTCTCTGCTGTCTCGTTTTGATCTGCTCTTCATCATGCTGGATCAGATGGACCCTGAGCAGGACCGCGAGATCTCGGACCACGTGCTGCGTATGCACCGCTACAGAGATCCACATGAGCAGGACGGGACAGGTATAAACTCACACACTACTGTTTGACTGAAGAGCAGTGTCTTCAGATACAGAAGTATAATTGATATAAGGTGGCTCAGTGGGTAGCACTTTCGCCTTGGAGATACACTATGCAGAGCAGTGAGTTTGAGACCACTGGTTTAAACAATGATTGATCATGGAAATTAGTACAAACTGACATCCCCACTAGGAATTAATCATGTTGCAGTTTGTGTTTATTGGACTCATCATGCGTTTGTGTGTTTCAGCTCTTGCTCTTGGTGGTACAATCGATGCTTTGGCCACGGAAGACCCTGATGCTACGCAGGAGGAGGAAGAGGAGCTCCAGGTTTACGAGAAACACAATCCACTCCTCCACGGCAGCAAAAAAAACAAGTATGTGAACACGTATTTCATTAGCTCGACCTTCTGTGTTTTCTGTCTCTAACGCAAATCACAATGGCTCTGATTGGTTCACTTACCAAATGAAATGAAGCTTTTTAGTAGGCTTAAAATGTTTTGTTTTTCTTTGATATAAAATGTTTTAATCTTTTGTTTCGCATACTTGAACGTCCATTATTAAAAACACTTTCTTTTTTTTAGGGATCGAGTAGTGAGCAAAGCCTTCATGAGGAAGTACATCCATGTCGCCAAAGCCATTTCTCCAGTTTTGACCCAAGATGCAGCCAATCACATCGCAGAGGAATATTCACGACTGCGCAACCAGGAGCAGCTGGGCTCCGACATCGCACGGGTAAATACAGGCGCTTTCACAAAGTGTTGCCGGTCATGTATTAGTAGATCAATTTTTGGTGGCTAACCTGATGAATCTGCTTTGTTTTGTTACTCAGACGTCACCGGTCACTGCCCGAACCCTGGAGACTTTGATCCGTCTGTCCACGGCTCACGCTAAAGCCCGCATGAGTAAAGCTGTGGAGCTGGTGGACACTGAAGTCGCCGTGGAGCTCGTGCAGTTCGCTTATTTCAAGAAGGTCTGTTTGCATATACTGTAGCCCATTAATCATAACAAGTCAGTTAAAGATGGACGGCATTCAGTGGTGTATATTAAGCATTTAGATCCACCAGGCTTCTGCGCAAACATTTTTTTGGGGGCATTTAAAAAAAATACACAATCAAAAATTGACAAACAGAAAATTTGTGGGTTTTTTACTTTAAATAATTATGTTTTGTACATATATTAAGGAAGGCATTTAGTAAGTCATTCTTGGTAATAGACTACTAATTTTAGAAAGGGAAAAATGACATAAAGCTGAATTACAGGATTTGTACTGTGTACATATGGCTGCATTTCCACCAAAGTGTCTTTTCTTAAGCTGAGCATTTGTTTTCTGTTGTTTTCATTGGTAGCACTGTTATTTGAGTGCATAGAAGTGCAGCAAGCCACTGAATTTTACAGTCATCGTTGTGAGCAAAGCGCAGCGCCAATCAGTGCCACTTTTGAGCTAGCCAACCAATCACAATGGAGGAGGGCTGGGACAATACCACACAACTGTCAACAAATAAAGACTAAAGACTTTCAACTTGTTCACAAAAACTTGCATTTTTCTACAAACTTCCTACTGCAACTACTACAAACTAGGGCATATAGAGGAATATCTAGCGAACATTAATCTAAAACTATACTTTTATTAGTTTTATCCATAACACATTCAACAAAAACACCACTTCTTTCTGGCACCTTGCTTTGTTTATTTGTACATCCTCCCTTAGCGGCTGATTTTAATTCATTAAAACATTTCCTGTACATGATTTGTTGAAATTAATTGTTTTCCCACCCTTTAGGTTTTGGAGAAGGAACGTAAACGCTCTAGAAATGGACAGCAGGATGCTGCTTCAGAAGACGAGGAAGAAGAGGAAGATGAAGCTCAAGACACACCACGACCACCCAGAAAAAGGTCTGGTGTTATTCCAGAATAAAAAAATCTTTAATCTTTATCATTCTTTACAGGTGATGACAAAATGATTAGCCCTCATGTGAAATAGTAATTCTTTCAACTCATTTTTAAACACAATAGATTTAATGAATAATTTCTAATCGCTTAAATGTCTTTGTCATGATGACAGTACATGCTATTTTACTAATTATTTTGCAAGATATTAGTATTCTTAGATTGCAATTTAAAGGCTTACCTAGGTTAATTATATTAACCAGTTAAGTCATTTGACAACTGTGGTTGGTTCTGTAGCCAATCAAAAAAGTTCTTAGAAGGGCTAATAATATTAATCTGAGCAGTTTTTACATTGAAAAAAATATTTGTTTATTTGTTTAGCCAAGCAAAAACATATATGTATTTTGCAAAAGAAAGTAAAATAGGAAATACTGTGAAAATGTGCTCTGGTAAATATTTCTCTTTGGAAAATTTTGAAAAATAAATAACATTTCACAGGAGGGCTAATAAATTCCTCTTCCACTTTATGTTTTGAGATCAAAATATACAAGTTCAAACATTTGAGGTGGGTAAGGTATGTTAATGTTTTTGAAAGAAGAGTCTTACTCTCACCAAAGCTACAATTATAAAACAAAAGAAGTGCAGTAAAGTCAAGAATATTGTCAAGAATTATTAGAATTAACACAAATATTTCTACTGTGATTTATTAATGTGATGAATTTTTAGCCTCATTACTGCCGTCGTCAGCATCATGTAATCCTAATTTGCTAATTTCTTTGCTTTAGAAACAGATGTCTGCTTAATCAAGGGTTAAAAAACAGCATCTATTTGAAATAGATTATTTTGTAGTGCTGTTTTTGTTTTGAATGAGCTCTGATGTTTGACCTGTGCTGTTTCTGTTTATGTTAAAATTCTGACAAAAAGTTATAACAATTTTTTGTCACCTTAGCTTATTTTCATAAATTAAAATATTTTGAAAAATCACAAAAAATGAAAATTTTTTGAAAAATCGCAAAAAATGAAATTTTTTTGAAAAAGGTTTTAACTAAATATTTCAAGTTATACAAACTTTAGCTTAATATTTTAAGTCAGTTTGAGTGAAGTTCAGATGACTAGAAGATTTAATTTGATAAATAAATGAAGGCAACGAGATTTTTATTTAGTTTTTTACATTATTGAGATCATGAAGTGATGATTCATTCATAAAACTGTTAATACACAGTGCTGTATGACCTGTATGAAGTTCAGTGAATACAGGTCTTTGACCTTTGTCATATATGTAAGTGATGATTATTGATGTGTGCGAGAGCTCAGCTGAGATTTGACCACTGACCATGTTTTCCTTTGTCCTGTAGGCGCAGGGGATCTCAGGGAAGCGAGTCTTATGACCCCTATGACTTCAACACTGAGACTGATATTCCACAGAGTAAGGCAAACACACAAACATTTCCTCTACATTGTTTTAAAGAAAAATATTTTGTAAGTTTCATAAATTTTGTCAGATTAATGACAAGAATCAAAACTTTACATTAAAATGTTTCTTTTATAGCACTTCAGCAGTGTCTGTAGATTCTAGGTACAACACTTATTTTTAAAAGTTCTTTCCCAGAATTGGTTTGTCTGTTCTGTGCCATAAATCTCACCAACACGTCTTCTGCATTTTGAAGGTCTCACTTGGAGATGTGCTCATACATCATTTGCCTGATTATAAACAACATTTTATTATTAAAAAAGAAATGCAAACATATATGTATATACTGGCTATTTGCCCTATTTTCTGAGTTATGGAGTGATAAAAAGAGTGACTGAAATGTCAACAAAACGAAACAAGAATTTGGAGCCTGACTTAATCTAAAGCGTAGATAAAATGCAAATGCTGGAGATGCAAATTAGTTCACATTAAATAAAAAAAAAAATAACTCCCTTTATATAGTTAACATGACAATTCAAACTTGTAATACAAAAAGTTTACGTTTTTAATATAATAATTGAACTGTGAAAGTAAAGTGATAACTATTAGTTCTTATCCTATTCACATGCAGTCTATTTAAAATACAATTTTTAACATTATAATGGAAATTGTATAATTGTATATAAGTAACTAACATTTATCATCTAAAATATTAAGTTACTTTGATAGTAATTAATTTATATATTAAGATATTGTAATTGTAATTAAGTAATCTTATTTTATAGTAAATAATTTACATAGTAGGATAATTTGATTGTAATTAAATAATCACATTTGATTGTAATTGTTAATTGTAATTTTGTAATATTAAATCATATTGTAAATATACAGCAAATCACTATTTGTTTAAAACCATTTATCTTAAACATTTAGAATATTGATTTGTATCTTAATTAAACTATTGTGTTTAACTATAAAATACATGCTCATTTTTGTGTGTGTGTGTGTGTGTGTTTTCTCAGTTCAGTCTCCGGCTCCTGCGTTGCAGGCTGATGAAGAGCCTGATCAGAATGGCCACACAGAGTTGTCTGAGGACAGGTAAGCTTTCAGGATTTTCGGTTTTATTTATTGTTTTCATTTTCAGAGGACTGCTGAATTGGTTTAAACTCTTGTTTCTTAATAAGAAACTGCTGAGTGTTTGAGATGCTCTAATAAGAACATGATAAGTGTAATAAGAGTGTATGTGTGTGTTTGCTATAGGTTTAAGGAGTTTAAAGCGGCTCTGCATAAGGTTTTCCGCTCTTCTCACGCTCAGTCGGTGGGTTTGATTGCTCTGATGGAGAGCATCAACAAGTCTTGCCCATCAGCGTTTAATGAAACAGACTTCCGGGCTGCTCTCGCGCGCATGCAGGACGACAACCAGGTCATGCTGGCTGATGACATCATCTTCCTGATTTAAACATCTTTTCTGGACAATATCAGTGATCCTCCTGTTCTTGCATTCATCTGTTTCAGAAGATCTGCAATATGTTTGCTTTGTTTATTACCATACTGTTGCAAGCATTTCTAAAACTAACTCTCTTCAACATTGACAGTAAATTGTTTGCTGTCTATTATTTTTCGCATGCTCATCTATGCGAATATTGGCATTCAATGAAAAAATAACTAGGTTGTATTTTTGCCAAGAAATGATAGTTTCTTTTTATTTCTAAACAGGCATGTTTCATGTTTTTCAACATACTCAAACCTGGCTTATGTTCTACAGAAATGAGCTTTCTGGTTGTATTTCTTCCTTTATTAAATGGTTGTTTTTTGTTTTATTAATGGCTTGTAAATACAGATGTTTTTAAATACAGATGTTCCAAACTAAGAAAAAATACAAATTCAGAAAAATGATAATGGTCAACATTTGTTTTCTGTACTTATTCCAATATTTCTTGTCTAGTCTGTTGCCTTTGTCAATAAAATTGTCAAAAATGAAGAAGGGGTGAAGAGTATATATTTTTAACTACTTTCTTAGCAGCTTTATTATTCAACTGACATACAATTAAACATTTAATACTATAGTTTTACTTATTTTGCTGTTTTAAATTGAAAGTTGTACTTTTTGCCACTTATATTATTTTATTTTTAGATATCAAGTTTTCTGTTTTTATTTAAATTTCATACTTGCTTTCTACTATGAAGCCAAACAAAATGAAAATCATTAATGCTACACTGGTAACATTTGTATGTTTATATGATCTCAAGCAACGTAATTGACTTGATTTTTTGTGTTAATTTTAGTTCATTTTATTTTTATATTTAATGGGCTGTGAATATTTCATCACACTTTAGAATAAGATTTCATTGTTAACATAAAGTAAATATGAACAATACCTGTATAGCATTTCTTAATCACGTTTTAACATTTACTAATGCTTTTTAACATTCAAGTTCATGCCAACATTAGTTAATGCACCGTAGGAACAACTATTTTCATTTATGAATGTAATGTAATGAATGTATCGTTTATTTTTTTATGTTAATAAATGCACTAGGTAACAACCTAATACAGGGGTCGGCAACCTGTTTTCCTGGAAAGAGTCATTTCTGATATTTTTTGGCAAATGCACTTTTTTGGGGTATATATACACCCCAATGTATACTACTACTATAAATAATACAGGTTTTAATAAAACCACAACTCAAAAATAAACACATGAAGCATCATGTGCATGTTGAGCAAAGGACAATTTATTTAAATTCTGGTAAATATTTTTTTTTTCTGAAAAGCAACATAATTTAAAATAAACATTTTACAAAAAATAAAATAAATAAACAGTTACTTCTTATAATACAAAATAAAGTATGCAGCAATAATTTTGGCTAGTTTTGAGGAACATATATTAATTTTGGCTAGTTTTGAGAAACAAAAATTATATTTTACTATTGAGAAAAATAAAGGGTAAATGACAAATTTCTATAGTAACCACACGTACGCGTTTGCCCTTTATTGGTGTCTCAATTCAATTTTATCCACTGCACTACACGTGCATTGGTTGAAAGGTCCTTTCATTGTAAGCTAAATTTTTATTCATTTTGCTTTAAAAAATACAATGAAAAGGGAATTGTAAATGTATTTTCAATATGAAACTGATTTCTAATGATGGCTATAATTTTTTAAACTGTAAATAATTATTGAAGGGAGACAGCTGGAGAGCCATGTACTGTATTTTTGGTCAAAGAGCCATGTGGTGCGTGAGCCATAGGTTCCCTATACCAATGACCTAATACCCTAATACCCTACTGTCAATTGTTACTGAATATTTTGATACCAATAAAACACAAAATAGCTAAAATTTCAATACATCATTTTACAATTTTTGCCATATTCATTAATGATAATTAAATTTTATAACCTAAGCTAAACAAAAATGCAACTAGAATTTAACTTGGTGTATTTCATTTCAAGTAGGCTAACACATTTTTTTCTGGATTTATTTTTACCTAACTATAACAACTTCATATATGACTACAACATACAAGATGACTAATGATCCTTATCTAGGGTCTGATAAATCTCTGCACATTTACCTAACACCAGAAAGCCGCATAACCTCAAGGCAGTTGTGCATTGGCAGTCATCTGAGCTGTTTTCTTTCATTGTGTGATGTGGCCAGAGTCTGTCTCTTCTCTTATGACTGTCACCGTCTCAGATGTAGAGCAAATATAATCATCTAAATGCAAAAGTGCAGCTTCTCGCTTCAATAAAGCTTTCAACTTATTTTGCTGCTCTTCAGCGTCTTCAAAACCGGTTGTCGAAACTTTTATGTTTTGTGTGGGAGATCGAGGAGCTTTTATAATCATTGATGTAAAACTGACAGAAAATATTCAGTCTTATTTCCCACGTAATTCTGTGTCAAGTATATTAAGACATAGCCTAGATAGTTCACCCAAAATTTTAAATTTAGGGGGAAAGTGGAGACCGTTGGAACATGGGGGAGTTGAAACAAGACTTATCAGCCATATGTGACCATTCATTCAGTATAAAACTCATTTATAGGGGGTTATGTTTAGAAAAGTATCATACTGTCTAATCTATTTTAGTGAAACATTATTCATTCATACAATTTAAATCACTGTTTGCAATACCTAGCTTCAAATAGGAATAGCTATGAAGTGTTAAAGCTATTGTATCTCCCTATAGCATAGAAGATTTAATCAGGGTTGACAAAGGTGAGACAGTTGCATTATGCTGTTGCAATTACACAATTGGTTTTAATGCTTGTCATATTAACAATGTACAACTTGAATTTTATTACAGTTTAATGTAATTTAATTTGAAAAAAAAAAGTAGTTTACTCTCAGAAAAAAGTACATGGTGGTACAAATAAAGTTCCTTAAAGAACAGTTTTGTACCTTTGTAAAAGTTGTTCTTTATGTGGTACGGAAAACATTTCTTATAAGACTGTTCTGTATAGTACAATTGAAATGTAGGTTCACAATTGTTCTCATAAAAAGGTACATGTTGGACAACTCCTTTATTGCAACATCTATGAAAATAATTAAAACTGGAAAGACAAAGTGATTTATGAATTAAACAAGAATCACCATTTAAAAGCATATGTTTAAAGAAACTCATAAACATTCATTATTAAGTTCTATAATACAAAACAAATGGTAAAACCAAACTATAGGTATTGTAAACTAAACATTTAAGACATTTTTAATAATTGTTAGAAGCATTTTCTTATAAAGAGTTTCATTTTTGATATCTGCACCTTTTGGCGTTTTCTTTCCACTACACACGAGCTGGCAAAAGTCCTGCATAAGCAAAATGCAGACATGCAGACATTTTAGTATTGTAAAACTCAATCAAACATCTTGTTACAATACTTTTGCATAATTCTATTTCTATTTTAAAATAAGTAAATTAAATGTACTTTAAAGTGATTTCAAAGGTATTGTGTGAAAATTGGAGAAAAAAATGTTTTATTTTGTACATGGGAGAATTTACAGTGTTTCTGTAACATTTTTGTGGAAAGTGTTGCGAAATGTTTAGCAAAAACAGATCTTTTAATTTATGTTAAATTATTTTTCATTCTTTATTGTAAATGGAAAAGGTGCATTTACACAATAAGAAACATTACAAAAAATGTTGTTTAAAACTATTTGATGTTTTATGTTTACTGAAAATAAATGAACACATTTTTGATATACAGAAGCAAAATGCCTTTAAATAGTTCTTGTAGGAACACATTTGACACTGTTAAGATACAAACTGTCTTGTCACTGTAGTGGTACCTTCATGGATCAGATCTGTACCTTTGATGAAGGTACACTATTGTATCTGCAGGTTTTAAACACCAAAGGTACATTTTGGTTTCCCATGGTACAAATAATGTCCTTAATGGTACAAACTGCAATGGCACAAGTTTGTTTGTTTGCTTTAAGGTACAATTTTTTTCCATAAAAAGATACTGCCCCAGTGACAAGGGTTTTATTTTGTTACAACATTGTACCAGAGTTTAGTAAATATTCAGTCTAGATTTTTAGTAAAATATTGTTTGTTCAGATTTTTTGTTGGTCTAATAACTCACCAAAACATGGTTGTTGCTTGTTCTTTTAGTATTTTGTATTTTTATGGCCAATGTATCTCATTTAACATTTTAACCTATTCACATTTAGTCTGTTTAAAATAAATAAATAGATAAATAAATAAATACATACATAATAAATAAATAGATAAATAAATAAATACATAATAAATAAATAAATAAATTTCCAACATGTTGTTTTAGATTTTTTTTTCTTATTGCATTTTAATGAATTTGCAACTTTGTTCGAGTTTAAATCCTGAATATATAATCATATGTACACATATTATAGCAATGTGGGGTGGGGGATGACTGATAGATGTCGGTTTATTATATTAAAATTTTGGGTTTCCACAAAAAATTGTCCAAAAAAAAAAAAAAACACAAGAAACTAAAGAAAATGCAAAAAGTTTTGTGACTGTCCCCACTCTCGCCTCTTATTTACTTTCCCTCAAGTTGTTCCAGGCCTTTATGAGTTTCATTACAATGTTGAGCATTGTTGACTTCCGTATTGGTTTTTCTTACTATGAATGATGTCAATGGTTACAGGTTTTTAGCTTGCTTTGTGTGAAACAGAATAAAATAACTCAAACAGAGCAAGGGTGGGTAAATGACAGATTAAAAATTTTGGGGTGAACTAACCCTTTTATAGGCATAGTCTTCCATAGAGCACCTCAGAAAGATGTCATATTTAAATTGAATCTTGTCTTTCTGCATTTGCTTTTTGTGCTCTGCTACTGTAACAGAGCATTGTTGTTTTAATCATCATGTGATGTCATTTCTTGTAATGACTTTACCATCTGCTTGTGGCCGTGTTTATTTTTTGCTGTTTCAAGAACTCAGTCAGCACTTCTGTGACCTCAATACCTACTGAAATAAAGGGGGAGAACGAGCATTGTGCAGTGTTACAAGTTTGTACCTGCAGCAAACTGAACTCTGAATTGCCAATGTTGAGTTTCATTAATTGTTGGCTGATGAAATATTTATCACCAAGTAATTCTTAAAACATTAATGGTAACACTTTACAATAAGATTGTATAATGTCGGTAATGCACTTACTAACATGAACGAGCAATACATCTAATAATGTTTTGTGATGATGCAAAGAGCAATACATTTATCACAGGACCGTAGCCAGCCTGGTGAAATGGGTGCTTCTTTTTTCTCAGAAGACAGTTATTCTCCTCACTTTTCTATTTAATTAGGAGATTTAAATACTGAATTTAGGTTTAGACATTTTAAGCACTATTTTTGCTGGATTCGCGTGTCGGAGGGTCATCATAACCACACTTTTTGATGTACCAAATATATTTCCTAAACATTTAGAATAAAGAAATATGACAAATATTTATTTTTTTAAAATACAAAAATAAATACATCTTATATTATTAGAAAATGAGTTTTAAATTAAAGGCTGTAGCCTATTGTAATTTAAAGCAGAGCTTCACACTTTTGTAGCCTCTATTGTAAAAATAAAAGCACATTTGAAAATTCATAATTAACAACAATAGCCAAAATAGTATTCAAATTAATTTTAATATTGGGTGCTTCACACTTTTTTAATGGTCATTTTTTTCCAAGAATAAGGTTCAAGTTTTAAAAAAAAAGTTGCTTGACAAATGTTCTCTCTATTAAAAACAATACAGTAGCGAAATATGACCACTTATGTCAGATGTTTTCTTGCACAGCTGGATGTTGGACTCATGGAATAGTTGTTTATGTTGAACAAAACTGATTGACTGAAGTCACACCTTCCGCTTCGTCTTAAAACCTTTTTTGATAGGTTATTTTTACGATGGAATAGCAGTCGAAATAGGATAAATGAGCTGATGTATGGGACAAATTCTGGACTTTTGTCAGTGAGGGATGGGTCTTCCGAACCACCTGAACCCCTCTGGCTACAGGCCTGTATTACAATATTTGTTCATGTTACTTTACATTAGTTATTGAAAACACAGTTGTTTATTGTTTAACCACGATGGATTATCCAATGTTAACAAGCATGAAATTGCATTTTAATAAGGCGTTAGCAAATGTTAAACTATAATTAATAAATGCTCTGCAAGTTTTGTTCATACCTGATTCATGTTAGTAAATACATTAGCTGATAAAAACCTTATTGTAAAGTGCGAAAACATTTATTAATGATGAATACCACTACATGTATTTAATTTTGGGGCTGTCGTCGTCTTGTAAAATCAACCAATTACATCTATCAAACACATATAAATACACATTAAAAAAAACTGAGATAACCTTGTAATTCTGAGGTGACGAGTTATTAAAAATTCGACAAATATTCGAAAAATATTGATGTTTTCATTTATATTTATTTCTTTTTTAACAAAGTCAAACTAAATTGGATGTTGCATTAATAACAAGGTGTCTGCAGTTAACAGTAATTCTGATGCAGGTCTTTTTAAGACCATTAGGAATGAAATTTAGGACCTATCACACCATCTTAAAATAAATAATAATTAAAAAAAAAAAAAAAAAAATCAATACATTTGAACAAATTACTGAAAACAATACTATAGAGCAGTGGTCACCAAACTTGTTCCTGGGGGTTCCGGTGTCCTGCAGATTTTAACTCCAACCATAATCAAACACACCTGAACAAGTTAATCAAGGTCTTACTAGGTATACTTGAAACATCCAGGCAGGTGTGTTGAGGCAAGTTGAAGCTTAACCCTGTCGGGCACCGGACCTCCAGGAAGGAGATTAGTGACCCCAGCTATAGAGCATTTTTAGAACTTTAAATTAGAGAAAGTTTATTTATAGTGAAAAGTAGGGCTGCAGGATACTGGAAAATTACACATTACAATATTTTTATTCTGCAATATGTATTGCGATATGAATACAACTTCACTAGATGAGTTGAATAAACGTCTGTAAAAAAATCTATAATTTTAGATTGATTGGGAAGATTCTGTAGGGGAGTCCATAAAATATAATTTGAGTAGTCTTGTATAATAAACATAATATTTATATTATTAAGCACAATATTTCTATAATAAAACATCTGCAAGCATAGATACATTAAATAAAGAAAAATATGCTAAATAAATATACAGAGTTTTATTGATTTCCAAACAGTCCAAATGTATTCAGGTGTACAGTAGTTGAATTATCAAATGTAAAATAATCCTGCATATAATCTTCGTTTATATACAATTTCATGAAATAATTGTTATTAATTGTTCAAAGTAACAAACGGTTCATTTTCTTATGCCTGAATGCTTTTAAAACCCTCACACAGCCACAGGCCTCAAAACACACTTGCAAAAAGATCAATTATAATCCAGACTCAACATTGCTTATTTTTGCGGTGTGATTATTGCGAATGATCACACTGCGATATCGATGCTGAAACGAAATATTGTGCAGCCCTAACAGAAAGCTTTTTTCTTTAAAATATTAAAATGCTATCCAGACACACACACACACACACACACACACACACACACACACACACACACACACACACACACACACACACACACACACACACACACACACACACACACTTTTTTCCAGAAAATATTTTTAAAAATTATTTAATAATATTTCACATACTTTTAAGATTTTTGAAATTCCCTGTCACATTTTACATGCCAGAGGTTACGACATGCCATGGTAATATACGTAAAGGCATAGAAATGTTTTCCTTAATCCCCACTTAGACCTTTCAGAGTAGTTGAGTAGTTATTAGTGATAATCTGAAGAATGCTGGAAACCAGTAGCCATTGATCCTATAGTATTTTTTCTACCATGGATGTCAATGGGTACCGGTTTACAACATTCTTCAAAGTATTTTTTAACCGACCTAGCACTACTTTCATTTAACTGTGGGAACCTTTTCGCAAACATGTCCTAACTCTTCAGCTTGACCCTGTTACTTCTTATTGAGTCAACCCCCAACTCCCAGCTTACTAGCTCAGCACATTGTAGACCTGTATTTTCTGCATGTAAAATTGCACTAGTGTTTTTCATTTATTTTTTTTTGTTGTATGGCGCAAATCCTCTTCAGTGTATCTGCTTATTGTTAAATGTTTGTGTTGTCATTTTTGTATGTTTTTGTAATGTATTTTTTACAATGTATAAATACAACATTCTTAAAAATCTTCTTTTGTGTTTCTTTACGGAAAAAAGAAACTCTGAAAGGTTTGGAACCATTTGAGTGTGCGTAAATAAGTACATGATATTTATTTTTTGGGTGAACTATCGTTAAAGCTCTTCATGGAACCATTAATACCAATATAGAGCCTTTATTTTTAAGAGCCTATTGCTACTTTCCGCTTCAAGATCAGCTAGAAAGACTCGGCTTAGGCTGCTAAGTTTTTTATGTGCATGGCGATAATCAATGTGATGTGCATTTGTGGGTGACTGTCTCATATTATCAGTAAAAAGTCTTTCAGAAGCTGTGAACATATCCTGTAAAAGCAGGTGACCCATATAAAGTGCATCTCAGTGCATGAAGATGTGAATCAGACGTCTGCTGATGTGTATGTGGGTGAAACGTGTAATTGTGGGAGAGTGCAGTTAAGTGTTAAACCCATAAGGGTGTTAAGGTGAAATTTCTATCCCACCAGAACACATTTGTTTTTGCTGAGGGGACCAAAAGTTGAAATATATAAATGCATATGGACAGAAACCCAATGCCACTGTTTGTGAATGAGGAAAAATAATTACGAACCAATTTGCATATCGGTCTTCATTGTCAGTTGAGTGATCTCAGACAACGGTCTGTACGTGACAGTTTGTACATCAAGATCAGGAAGCTGAAGACTTTCTCATCAGCCCATACAAACAGAAGCAGGACGCAAAGCTCAGCAAACTGACGGTGGAGATGCGGCTCTCACGGGTGAGTTTCTCACAAGTTAATAAAACTGTTGATTAATTTAGTTAAATGTAATGTATTTTGCATTCTCACGAGAGGGAAGAACTATCAGGTGCAAAAGTTCAAGCAGGTTTTTTTTTTTTTGCTGAGTTCTTGAGATCTGCATCATTTATTATAAAGATTTATTTTAGCAAAAGAAAAACATGCAATGCAGTTTTATTCTTTTCTACTTGAATGTCTCCTGTTATTTGTATTGTTTATAATATATGTTGATATATGATATATTTTTACCATGCAACAATATACCAAAAAAATCTTTTACTGACATGTTAAAAATACACACTTTTTTTCAGGTGTTATCCTTTGTCAGCAACTATAACAACTTAAAATATATATGACAATTCAAAATCAATCCATTGCTCTTTTATATATTTTAATGAAGTCCAGACAGAATAGAATTTAACCAAATTTGACATTTTATTTTCACAAAAAGTTATTTTAAACAATAAAGCTGATATACTTTACTTTTATTTTGCTTTCCATGTACATAAAAGGACTTTTGTCAATTTAATTGGATGGGATTTCACTGTTGGAAGCTGTCTGAGGAAATCCTTTAAGATTGTATCATCTTAATTGCTCAAACAAATCGTTTTTGTATGTTTTTGGAGTTTAACCCTCATGAATTCTTTGTTTTGGTCTTGTCAGGTTTTCAGAGCTGTGCTGCTGCTGTTTCTGCTCATGCTTTTGTTAGATGCTGCTCTCTCTGAGAATAGGACTAAAAGAAAAAGATGTTCTGGTGTGAAGAAGTGTACTAGTGCTGGATGTAAATCAAGATGTCAAAGAAAGACAGCTTGGGTCATTCTAAACTCAGCTTGGGACAATATAATGAGTGACACTCCGTCTCCAGACAGATCTCTGTCGCCTTGGACATACACGTGAGTCTAATATTAATCTTCTTCATTTAATCTTCAAATACATGTGTGAAATGTGGAGCTCTTGTAATTATTTTTTTTTAAATCTTGCACTTAAATTTTTATCTACATTTAAGTTGTAAATAATAACAATTAAAAATACAAGAAAATACTAAAAATGTTAAATAAATGCACTGATTCAAATACTGAGTTGGTTTAACCCATTGTTTAGTCAAGAATGATCAAACACAATTTTAACCTAATGGTTGTGTTTGTTTATACAGTATTCGACCCTGTGTTTGTTAAAAACAGCCCAGCAGTTTTCAAAGTGTAAATCAAATATATTCAAGCAATTTCTGAGTGAAAACGTTTTGAAAAATGTGATTAAAGGCTGCTTTGTACATTTTTGTTTTCATTTTCAGAACTTCTGTTGATGAGTCACGAATCCCATCAACAATCTCAGAGGCAAAATGTGAAAAAAGAGGCTGTTTAACAAAAGACGGTGAGGAGGACCTGGGACTGGAGTCCCAACCCATTTACTACCAGATCAACATCCTGAGACGAGTGAAGAAAAAAAATTCAACATTTTACGCTCTTAAACTGGAGACGAAAAAAGTTAGTGTTGGCTGCACATGCGTTTTACCAATTGTTTTGCCTCAGAACTAGTTTGTTTGATGTGCTTCTAAGCACATTCTGCTTTATTGTAATATTAATCTGCTTATAGTTATAGTTCTGTATACTTTAGATGAGCTTTGCATTAATTAAAGCTGTTGTACATTACTTTGTATTTATTATATCAGTTAATAAAAGAATATACAGCGCCTATAGAAATAATCACTCGGTTTTTCATACAGCCTGAAAACGAATCACATTGTGTTTTTGTAGCCTTCTCCTTTCTACAACTTTATCCAAAAGGTCTTTTGAAAGCAGGGTGAAATGTGAGTAAAGGTGTAGATTTTCACAAAGTATGATGACTTTCTATAGGCACTGTGTATATGCATTATTGAAACATGTTATTGATATTATTGTAACACCCTGAAGATCATGTAGCACTCCAGTAAAGGTGTTTATCGCTGTTCAATATTTGATTATTTCACTTCTTCATTGTGTTGTACCTCAAATTAAAACACATGTAGTTCAGTTAAATGCAAAAAAAAAAAAAGTTTTTAATCGGTAACTATCATGAATAATTGTGATTAGCATAACATTTTCCAAAGTGGTTGACTGAAAGTTTGTAATTCAAGCTAAAGTACAAGTTTAATAAAGCAGGTTGTCTACTATAGATAGCTATTTTAGCATCTTATTTAGAAAAGTTCAGCCGTTTTAATGAAAGTATCCATGTTTTATTCAAAATAAAAGTTTAATTTTATTGATATGTGAACTATTGTTACACTGAATTATATTTTAATGGTGTATATCATAGTAAAAATGTCTGATGTTCATTATTTTGTACACAAAACAAACAGAAAAACAAAGTGAAAGTTGTATTTTACGTATTTTTTTTAATCTTTGACCCATAAATAAACTCACTGCAAAGAAAGACTTTGGATTTAGTTAAGAGAAGCATTTATTGAATTGTTTAACTCGAGAATTTAGTCATTGGGAAATTACAAACACAGAAAGCATAGACGTTTCATTTTCTTACTCGTCGATTAACATCACTTGTCACCATTGCACAAACAACGGCTCATTTTTTTTTGACGCTGCATGTACAACATCAAACTCCTTTATCTTTGTTTCTGATAAGTAAAATAAACAGAATAAAGCTCAGTGTCATGCCAAAGCAAAGTGCACTATTCACATCCAAACCATTTCCCAAATCCAAACAGGATCTATTGTTTTTCCTCACAGCTTAATACATTCATTTCCGAGATGCTGCTATGTGTTTTCCTACTCATAATACAAAATACTATGGATGAAAAAGCTAAATGTGCTTCTGAGTTGTGCTTAAAGTGTCACTGTGCTCCACTTTTCATTTGTGACAGGGATATGAGCTTTCAGATTTACAAACATCTTCTCATATATTATTAATTAGATCATATTTGCATCCTCATAGCGGGGAATGTGATACTATACTAATTGCCTGATTATTGTGTAAGCATGCGTCAGGTTTCATGAATCTCTGAATATTAATATCAAAAGATAGTTAAAGAAGAATGAGACAATGTCACAGTAGATGGTGCGTGTTTTAGGAGTTAGACTGTAAAGATATTGCCATTAGTAAAGGATGACTTTAAGATTTATGTTAATGCATTCATCTGAAGCATCTCTTCAATGATTCCACTTTCTGTCCTACTTTCAGGTCATTTCAAAAAGATCAGTTTGGTATAATATATATACGCATATTTACGTATATCTCCTCTGAATCAACCTTTTGTCCCGCACCAAGCGACATACAACCCTCTCAGTGCACCTTGCATTGCCATCTGGACAATACTTGTCCTGTTTTTATAATATGAAGTAGTTCGGATGTTGTTAAACCCCACAAAAGCTTGGTGTGTTGCAAATTGTCGTTGTCAATATCCAATAAGTCCCCCTTTTTTTTGAGATGTATTGGCTACCGTTTGCTTGGTTTTCATCAGCTGAAGTGCTCGCTCCTCTACCGACAGGCCTCCTCCTTCAGCTCTTTGTTCTTCCTCACCTCCTCTGCGTGTTTGTCCTGAAGAGACGCACAAAAGGAAACTTTCCTCAGTCTGTGTACATGCATGTATTAGGGTGCCTGAGGGAAACTAAATGCAGCCGCATAAACAAAGTAGAAAAACAAACCAACCCCTTTCTAATGCAATATTCATAGCCATTTTATATTTAGACCAGGAAGGGACTTAGATGCACAAAGGCCAGGAACTCAATGAATATGCAATCATACAAAATTCTGGGAGTTTTTGTAAACTTTTTTCTTTCTATTTTTTAAAATAACTTATAAATTTTTTGTTTTCATTTGAAATAGAAAATCATTATATAAACTTATTCTTTTTTAATATATATATTAAACTATATATATATATATATATATATATATATATATATATATATATATATATATATATATATATATATATATAGTTTAAAATGGTTAATGTAAAAAAACAGGAAAAGATTAAATGTATTTTCTGTTTCAAACTAATTTTAAAAATATTTTTATTGTTTACATTTTTGTATTTATAGTAAAACAATAGCAAAAAATCCATGGTTTTTGTTTGAATAATTATTAATAATTTAATAAATAAAGCAAAATAAAAAGTATAATAACTATGCATTTTATTCATTTATTAATTTTCTTTTCAGCGTAGTCTCTTTATTATTCAGGGGTCGCCACAGCGGAATGAACCGCCAACATATCCAGTATATGTTTTACACAGCGGATGCCCTTCCAGCTGCAACCCATCACTGGGAAACACCCATACACACTCATACTCTATAGACAATTTAGCTTATCCAATTCACCTATAAGGCATGTCTTTGGACTTGTGGGGGAAATCGGGGCACCCGGAGGAAACCCACGCAAACACGGGGAGAACGAAGACTTCACACAGAAATGCCAACTGAACCAGCTGAGGCTATACCAGTGAACTTCTTGCTGTGAGGCGACAGTGCTACCTACTGCACCACCCATAATAAATATTATATTAAATAAAAATATATAAAAATATTAACTTTTACTAAAGTTTGGATCAAACAAATGCAGCCTTGGGGACTGTGATTTCCATATTATTTTCCATAATTGATTGTAATTTTTAGGCTAAATTCCATTTAAAGTTGTTAATATACATTGTAATACTGTAGCTGAATATATTCTAACAAAATACCTCTTTAAGTATCGAGTTCTACTTTGAAATGTACATTGAAAATAAAGAGTTCAGATGCAAAAACATATAAGTGCAGTCTGAAAATGTCAGCCTCCTGTGTTTATGATCAGATATTTCACTATAAATAAGATAAAACTAATATTTGCCATAAAAGTGAAATGACTGAACCTAAACAAACACAAATCATTTTACAAAACAATTTAGATAGCACTTTGCATCTGAACTCTTCAAATATAAGTAAAATGCAAACAACATGTAAACAACAATTTCTTTACACCCTGTCAGTAAGTTTGTACCTTTTCCTGTAGCCTCTCCAGCATGGCAGCAAGCAAAGCCTCGCGGTTCTCTTTGTTGGCCTCCATCCTCTGCTCCAGCTTTTCTTTAGCATTCTTAATGAAGTTGTTGTTCTCCTCAAAGGCCTTCTGAATGACCTCTCGCTCATGCTCTCTCTTCTCAGCAAGATGCTTCAACATCTCGGCCTCCTGGAACTAGAGAAAACAGTACAATTTCAGCAACAGAATCAGACCACAGACAGAAACAGATAGATTGTGTTTAATATCCAACCTTCCGCCTCTCCTCGGCTGCTTCCAGTTTCTTTTGGATCTCCTCCAGCGACGGGTCTTTACGCTGGGGCATGGATGTGTTAAGCTCGGGTGCAACATCAAAGGAAGGGGGTTTCAGGATCACCTCAAAAGCCTGACCCGAGGTCCGCTTGTTCAGCTCAATGACCTCCATCTCTTTGATCACACACCAGTTGAGATCCACCGCATCTTCAAGTAGGATCAATTACAGTCAATATCCTCATTATATTTATGCTCATTACACTGTAGTGTTTGAGAGACATTTATGAAATATGAACACAGACTGAGAAATGTGTTATTTACCCTCGGCCTTGTATGTGGGGTTTTCTGCACGGTTTGAGTTGATGCAGGAGCACAGAAGTGACACTAGAGGGAGCTCCTTCACCTTGTCTCGATATGCTGTGCAGAGAAACGTCAGGTGTAGAGAATATCGGACATAAATATAAACATTTTTTATTACACATAAGGCTAAAAATATATCATTTAAATTATTTCATAGAGTTTATCCTACAAAAATATTTATACAAAAAATTTAAATTGATATTGAGTTAGAATGCTGTTTTTGTGACAGCTTTAATGGAACTATTTCACATTTATTTTAGTCTTGCCAATTTACTCGACTTTTTTGGATTAATGTTGAAGATTTTATGGCTCATAATATTTTGAAATCATTTTACTTATCTTATAAACATGTGATTTAGGATTATTATGTTAAGGATCGCTCTTTAAAAGATGCTGGTTTTATTATAAACTTTATTTTATTATTATGTGAACTTCACATACATAAATCCAAGTTTGCCAAAAGCAAACCTTTCTACATGGTGCTAGAAAAAGAGATTCAAATGGATATAAAATTTATGTCTAAGTCTGAACATAGAAAAGCAATTAAAACAGTTAATATATGCTCCTCCTTTAACATTTTTGCATGAAAATGTTTGTATATATGCATTTCCTGTAGTAAAAGTGCATTTAATAACTAAAATTGGAAAAATGTGTGTAATATTTGTATGTAATTTGATAGTTATGTACCCTCTCCTCTGTGTGTGTGTTTTTTTATTTTTTATTTTTTCCCCTTATTTATTGTATTCTTGTTAAGAAATGTAAAGTGAATTTGTTGTATAAGAAAACTGTACATGCTGGTTTTTGTTAATAAAAAATATAAATAAATAAATAATAAAGAAAGAAAGAAAGAAAGAAAGAAAGAAAGAAAGAAAGAAAGAAAGAAAGAAAGAAAAAGAAATAAATATAAACAGAATCAAAAATCATATTCTGCTTGGAGAAAAAGATGCATTTAAAAGTAATCTGCAAAAAAGTAAGATATAAGAAATATAAGCAATTTTTAGCAAATGAACATGTGTTACCTGTAGATTATTTTTTTCTTCAGTCAAACATTAAAGAAGATTTTTAGCTATGGTCATTACATAATTCATAGCAAAAAAACCAAAAAACAAACAAATTATTCCATACAAATTAAATAGCAAAACTCCTGACAATACATTAAAGGAATAGTTTACCCAAAAAATTTATTTCTGTCATCATTTAATCACCCTTTGGGGGACTGACAATTTTTTTTGGTAATAATAGTTTGTGTAACACATCCTTCAGTCATTTATGTATTATTGCATCTAATTTATTAATAAAACATATTTAAGTTTTCAGTGTTTTGAGGGAGATTTAGTGTATTCTGACCTACAATATCCTCTGGTTAGCTATTCTATTACAATGTGATGATGCCATTGGCCCATGAACATTTCCTGCTTGTTGTCAAACTATTTCATAACTGTATCAAGGGGCAATTCAATAATATCTTAATGTTAAAACAGCTGCCATAACATTATTGATCAATAAGTGGACCTTTTTGGATTTTCTGAAGCCATAGCAATTAAAAATGTAAAACAGGAAATAGGTTAGCACCATTGGTATTGTTTACATCTCTCAAAATGGCCTATACAAACTATGCGTCTAATTTGACATTACTTACAGGCT